GCCTGTCTCCCAGCTAGTTCTATCGATCGGCGCCATCAGCAATCACCCGTCAGCAGGACTGAACTAGGTGAAACGAAGGACCAGCATGATGCGGTGGTGAGCGCGGTGCTCCCCGGAAAGGACAATAACACGTTCGTTCCCCACCACAGAGCTCGTGTTTGTTTTGTTTCTAATACAAAATACCGTCCTTTCTATACCCAAGGAATCAATTAATCGAACCTACAAATCAACTCTTTCGACGAAATTTTGAAGCTTTATATGGACTCAACTCATATGTACAAACTAGAAAGGTGTCACTGGTACAACAGAATCTCGGCAAGAATAGTGCATAATGTTCTTGTTTACTTAACCTGATTTTATGTCTATAACCAGTTGCCATTCGATATGAGCACCATGTAGGGCTTCTACCTTGGAAATCAGAAACGACGCTGAAGAAACTCAAATTTCCGTAAAATCAGCTAGCAAATCTCATGAATACACGAAAACCACCTCGTGTCAGGTCGACAAATACAGATGAATTAGCTATTATTGCCGAACAACATAAAAACCTACTTTGATTGAACCTCAGCAAGAATAGTCCATAATGTTTTAGTTTACTTAACAAACACAAGGTTGTTAAAAAAAGCGTATTTATTCGCTTAGCTTTTCAACGTCTTTGCTTTCTTCAGAGCGAATTATCCGAGTGCATCCACGATCTACAGGTGGTCCCTCTCGCAAAGTGGGTGTTCGTTGTTCCATCTCGAATCCAGTAAAGTGGACCACCACTCGAACAAAAAGCCTCACTCAGTAGTGCACTTTTGTATAGGATGTATATTGATCTAATGGCTTCATCCAATAAAAGGATAAAGCTACCTACGTTGAGCATTCCTAACGGGTGCGCCATTTATTCCACTTCATTAAACATCGCTAAAGGTAAATTGCTGCAAATCTGGCTTATAAAATTACTTTACCGTGGGTTACCGATCTATCAAGCCAATGGTGATGTCCTCCGAGATATATCTGCCACCGATTTCCCAATCTCAGAGGTATGGATAGCTTGATGAACCCGAGGTACGGGATCGAAACGACGGCTACGTGTATATTGCAGGGCATTTCTAACCAATGCCTTGCACACTTCGCCACTAAAAACAATGTTTTTTTTGACGGAAATGCATTCTGCTCAGCTGGTATATAGAACTCGACTCGATGAGACAACGCGAACACCCACATAGCGAGGATGGCCACCTTGGTCATCGAATCGGATCAATCCTGCTCTGAAAAAGACGAAGTCGTCGAAACGTTAGTCGAATAAGGATCTGCTTCGCACCAACGATGTGTCAGCTCAGTAATCTGGAACAATATTAATGCCGAAGTTTATTAAAAATGGGTCTTCTAAAAGCTGAAATCTAATGGTCACAAGTAAAATTACTTCATAACAACATTAATGAGTTGGTAGTGGAAGCGAGGGTTTCATGTGATCTCCGTTAATACCGGCTAATTTAACACACTTGGCCAAAAGAATTTCGAAGATTGAAGAAACTGATTAAAATTTATTTAGTTGCCTCTTCGTTGTGTTATAGTTGTGTACGTTTCTTGCTTATTTCCCACACACTCACAAACATTTTTCTCAAAAAATTCTGGTGGAATCTACAGTTATTTTCAGTGAAAAAAGAAGGCTTAGCTCCAAATTTGGCGTGAACTTTAGCACAGAAATATTTCTCACAATTTTTTCTAAAAAACTAACTGGTATGCAGTTACTTTCCCACCACGTTATAAGCACGCTTTAATAGAAAACGATTCTGCTAAGCAAACCAAAGCAGATTGTTTGTACTCTAAAATATGCCAGAGGAAATAAAATTGAAGGCTTTTTTTCTATTCTTCTCGATCCATTTAGGTACACAATGAGTGGAATTCTGAGAAGAAACTGTTTACTGTATGTTTGTTCCATTAATGTGTGTCCAGACATAAATTTCCTATTCAAGACGTTAACGTTGGTAAAAAAAAACGACCACTTGTGTTCTTTATGTAAATACAATTTTACTGTTTGCGATCACTTTTCCGGTTTTTAATTCATCGTCTTAATGTTGATCCAATGACGTTTTCCGTTTAGCAACAGTAACAGTTAGCTAGGGCTCATGTAGCGGATTGGGTACACACAGGATTGGTCTTTGCTTCACCCCACGTTCCGGGCTTATCAACCGCCCTCTATCCATCCATAAAGGCAGACTGATACCATGTTTGCTTTAAAGAAGGAAAAACGCTAACTTGATACATCGAAAGACCCTCATAAGTACATTGTGCTAGCCTCTGCGATGTTGTAAACGGAGTTATGGAGTATCACTCAAGGATTGATCAACGCAGAACGTTTTGTCCTCCTTACTGCTATTTTTTCTCTGCACTTAATACTTGTGTTTACGTAAAAATTGATATATAACAATAGATAAAGTATGTTATTTGATCCTTATTCAGTGACAGCAAGCAAATTACGTTCAGTTGTGTTGCTCTTTGATTTCCACAGCCGCCGTCTTCTACGATCGAGCTGCATTCACGCTACCGTATTCTTCTACCTTATCTTTGGGATCTATTTTTTTTCATGTTTTTCAGACTAGCCTTTTTTTATTTAAAACTCTTTGTATTTTATATTAAAGCAGAATTCATAGACGTAGTAAAGAGTTTTTTTTTGAGAGAGGGTAATGTCACTGTCATTATTATCATTGAAGTATACTTGGCTTACCGGTACAAAATATCAGATTTGCACTGAAAACAAAAAGTGTTTCAACTTCTTTTCTTATTAAGTCAAAATCTATTAATTAATGTAAAATTTATTAAAATTGAAACACTTTTTTCCTAGAGTAGACAATCTGTTCAAGTAAATGTTTCTATGTCTATATTGGATGAAATCCAAACACCTCACTGACGAAGTGTTAGTTGAAGAAAAACTGAATGTACTCCATTGGCCAGTTATAATCATGTTAATTTTAATTTTAAAAAAACTTGCTTGAAAATTTGTAATATCAATTAAACCAACCTCCATATTCATACTTAAATTATGAAGACTTTTTCTTCTTCCTCTCCCAACGGTTTACCGCCTCATCATGGATGGGAGGTCTTCCTGGGTGTCCGACTGCGATGTTCAACGGGGATTCATTCCCTGGAAAAGTTTCCCAAGCTGAGAAGAAGTTCGGCGTTTTCATCAGGAAGCCTAGCTAAGAGTAAACCAACAGTAGGATCCACCACCGTCCTAGTATCAAAGTCGTATGGTGGTAAATCTCCCTCTGATCCGCAAGGGCTGCGACTGATCGTGGTGGGGTGATGACCTGGGGCAGACTTTGGCCAGGCTGACTTTGGGATTTCAGGAAACCACAGTGGTTTAAACAGCAAACCTCCGAAAATGGAGATTATGCTGGAGTCCACACAGCCAGTGAGGACGGGCCATTCAAGTATCAAGTAAGTAAGGTTTCTTCTTTCTCTTGATAACTGGTTACTGACGAATTTTTCCTCATAAATGTGTTTGTCTTGTACGTCTGATGGATTACAGTTTTTCAAACCATAACAGGTTTTATCATTTGAAAAACAACTTGTGAAGCAAGGTCGGCCCGAGGTGATGTGAGTTGACGTACAAAAGAGTCAGCCTTTTTTGTTCGAGTAATAAGGAGCTCTTTTCCTATGAACTTCTAGTAAATGGTTTCGATTTCAGCGAAAAGGTATTCTTTTACAGTTTTTTTTCATATTTATAGCGTTGTTAGGAGTAAGGCCAACCACTATCCACCATCGCACAATAATCACCACGCTCCTAGGCCTAAATTTTTCTAAGGCGTGGACTGTGGATTTTCATTGGCGAATATCTCTTGAATTGAGAGCTGTCGCATGTCCTAAAATATACATCTTCGAACTCTATTGGTAATGCGGCTCAAAAATAATTCTTTCACATTCCAAATAGGCTACGTCTGGCAGATATCTCAGGACCATGCTTTTTTTGTTATCAGCATCGTGTACAGACCAACTATCAAGCATACTGACTTCTCCGAGCAATCTATAACGATGACAAATCGCCCGAGACGTTACTATCAAACTATTCTGCTACTCGTCTTCGGTCCTCTCTCCGATCTTATAGACAGTTGCTCATCTTCAGATTTTAGTCCCGTGTTACAAAGTCACACATCATCAACAACACCGTTGAGTCTTCTGCGATCTATGTCTATAAGGTCTTCATCGCCATATTCAAACTTGTCCAACCAACAACGAGATGGGAGGTCCTTTAATAAAACTTATTCTACCTGTGGAGTGAATGTTACGAGAAGATACTGTAACATTACGTTCACCACTGCTATTCATATAGAAACAAAAGTACTCTAGTATCTTTTTTTTCTCCTTTCTTTTTTCTTTTTTCTCTTTTTCTTTCTTCTTCTTTTTTCAGAAACAAAAACGATTATGAAATGCTTGAACCCTTAAGAGATCAAATGAATAAATAAACTGCAGGAATGAGGAAACTAATTACAAACTTTAAAACGACTTATAAAAAATCCACTGATGAATTTGCATTGCAAGAGAAAAAATTCCTAGAATCATCGCACCGATAGGTCAGGCTGCAAAATAAACCAACTGCTTTTAATAAAAGTTCATCCAGCACGTAATACCATTCAAGCTTATCTCTAAAGGGAAAGAAAAATACACATTTAAACAATCGCCAAGGTATAAACGGATATTAAACGCATGTGCTTTTCTACACGCTTTCAAATGTCACACTTTTTCGTTTTCCTAGTTTACGTCTAAAGTTTTTTTCTTTAGTTTAAATTGTATAAAGTCCTTTCTTACTTTCGGCCTACCATTCTTGTCATCACATGTTATTCGATCTCATCGATCGTTATCGACACTATCAGATATCATTTGACGTGGAGCTTAACGTTAATATGATTTTTTGTCACAAAATAAAGTTATGAACATTTCCTAGTCCGTATTCATGCGCTAGTCGTTCGGGCCGCTAGCTTTTTGATTCTACTAACTACTGAGATTTCAGAAATATGCGACGAGCTCCCAGTTTACGAATGATATTCGTGGCATTGGTTGTATCGTTAGCTGGTCCATTTCATTTCGGTTACCAGCTTCTTATCACAAATCCGGCTCAGAGAGCTTTTATTCGGTTTTTTAACGATACACTCGATTCGGAATTACACATCACAGCTTCCGATAGCACTCTTGATGTAAGTACGTTTGGAAAATGAAGCCATTCAGAATACTATTCATTACACTGGCTATTATGTTTTTGTTTTTTCCAATAGTATTGATTTGTTAGGCTGTTAAAACAATCGGTATATTCTCAGTCTCATAATCATGTCGTTGAAGAAAATATGGAGCTTTATCGTTGCTGTATTATTTTTGGGAGCATTAGTTGGATCATTTTCTATCCGTCTTATTGCTGATAAAATTGGACGTAAACGCGGACTTTATCTGTCTCTTGGAATAGGTGTTGTATCGGCAACTGCATCGGCATGTTCAAAAGTCGTAAGTCACATTCATGCGCTACCTTGTCGTCGTTTTGTTTAAATGTTGTTTCAATATTTAACTTAAATGGTTAAATGTTAAAAATGTTTGAAAGTTCCTTATTAACACGGAAGAATTTCCAATTATGAAACTTTTCTTTCTAGTAGAATTAGCAACTTTTCTTAACTTCTTATTCCGAATTATGAGTTTCTTATCAACACTGTTTTAATTTAGTAAACAAAAAAAGACGACGAGATAAATGTTACAAGTCCTAAGAACTCTGTAAACTATGTAGTTTTTTTCAAGCTCTTGACTTAAGCGACTAGTTGTTTGTTACCGTTTCACCCGACAGGCATATAAGAAGTTAGGTAACTGTTTGAGACAGCTTGTTGCAATCCGATAAAGGAACATGGCGGCGATCCTAGTATTCTTTTTTGCCTTCAACAATATGCCTTCAATAATATTCTTTAAAGTTCTGCATCAGTATAAATCGAAAAAAAACTGCTTAGATCATTCAGTACTCCGTGTGACGAATTGTTTAGAACGTTCCTTAAAGCTCGCCAATAAAATTTTCTTCTTCACATTCCAGATTCCAAGCGTATTACTATATAGTTGTTCACGAATAACAGTGGGTTATTCAACAAGCCTTAGTCTCGGCCTTTCGGCACTTTTCCTCTCCGAATCTAGGTATGGTATTCAATTTACCAATATATTAGTCAGTACTGTAAAATAAATTCCCCCGCTATTTCTTTTCTTCGCTTTGTTTATATCTTGTAAACATATGATTTATATCTTTGTAATGTTTTTCAATGTGGCTCCCATCAACAGTTATGTACTGGTATGACTGTTCCAACAAAAAGAGTTTTCCCAGTAAAGAAGACAGTCAAATGACGCCACGAATCGTTCGTCATGCTGGCGCCCAGTCATCTTTGCTGATTTTTTTAGTTCATTCACTAGTTGAAATTACCGTCCATAGCTTTCCGAAACAGACAAGCTTTCTTCCACAAGAGTCCAGAAAAGAAATAAGCTTCACGACCAAAAAAATTAGAAGTCTTTCGTCAGAATTGTTTGTGCTACTGAACCAAAAAACTGCATTTTCACTTTTTTCACTTTCAAACTGTTTAACAACCTCGCGATTGCTGAGAAAGACAACGACAGATTTATAATCCAATGCCGAGGTTGACAGAAAGTTGATCCTGTGCACTTTTTTTTGGTTTTTTCTGTACACATTTTTATTTGATATGTTTATTTTATACAAATTTTCCGCATCATTTTAGTCCAAAAGAATGTCGTGGTTCTATAGGAATGATTATTGGCATGTGCGTTCAGTTAGGTATTCTAACGGGATCCATTCTAGCAATGCCACAAATTTTTGGTACTGTTCAACTTTGGTAAGCAATGATGAATAGTTTTTTTTGCTTTGGATGCCTTGTAGTTCTTTATTCACAGACTTCTTCTTTAGGCATATGATTTACGTTGCTGAAATAGTAATGATGATAACGTTTCTCACATTTCTACCACTTCTTCCGGAGACACCAGGGTAAGCATCATATTTATGTCAAAATTGTGGGTGACAGATCTGAAATGATTATAACAAAAGTGTAGAAAAATAGCAAAAACTTCAAAGCTATTGCAAGCCAATGATACATGATCTGCCTGAAAAAAATTTTTTTGTTCCATCGAATCAAATATCGGGAGGTCCACATTTCCAAGGAAATTATAGAGTAGAATAAAAAAGGACAAAGCTCTCTGCGTTGATCAATCCCTGAGGGATGCGCCATGCATTCGACTTCATTAAGCCTCGTTTGGAGGTTATGGAATGTATATCTGGCCTTTACAATGACTCGCGGTGGTGGGCTACCTCTGTATCGAGCCAATGCTGCTATGCTACCAGACAAGTCTGCTATCAGTTTGCCGATCCGGAGGGTTGAAAGGCCTGATGGACCAAATGCGGGGGATAGATTCCACGTGTGTGCTGCAGAGCACCTCCGAACACTGCGCCACACACGCCCTGTAGAGTAGAATAGTTAAACGTAACGGTCGGGAAATCTAACAATGTGAGTTTATAATCTCTTTCTTCACGAATAGTTTCGATTTTTTTTACGAAACCTGCAAAAAAAAATTGACAAAGCAATGCTCGTTCCTGTCCGTTCTTTCGATTGTACACCTGCCTTTCATTGGAAGTTTATCACGAACATGTTATCTTGAGTTTCATCTTTCACCTGCCATTCAAAACTTTTTCAAAGTATTGGAAAAATGTTTTAATAACTCGAAAGAATGACTTTCTATAAACCTCAGCACAGAAAGTTGATATATTTATTTATGTGATCTTATAAACTGATTTTCTTAAGTTGACGCGAGGTTGGTACAGATCTTCGTTGCTGTTCTCGTTGTTCTTGATGTTACTGATCGATGGCTGACAATTCGGCGACTTCGCCTTCCTCAGAGCATGGACGTATTTTGTATTAGAATATTTTTATTATTCGGTGGAAAAAAAGGTTAAAGTATTAATGAAGACCAAACTTTCAAATAGACGCCATATTGAGCAGAAGGGCCACTCACCATGATGTTACGTGCGGGACTGGCCCACACGTAGTTCACGTGGAGTCGCGAGCAAGACACACCCCGGGGTCAAAATATCACTTTGAAATAGCGCGCCAGGTCAGGCGTGATAGTGAGGCATTCGTCCTTCAGGTTCATCTTTGGATCTTTGAAATTTATCCAAAACGCCTCAAGAGTTTTGCGCTTCGATGTTTTCGATTCCTCCGCAAGAATCTGCACAGTCACTTCAAAATCATCGCCGTTGTGCTTTTGTGTCCTATGCGTACCTAGAGGGGTGTTTAAACGGATTTTAGCTTTTCCATCTAGATGTTCTTTTATGCGGACACAAAGTGGTCTACCCGTTTCCCCGATATATTCCTCGCCGCATGCATTACATGAGATCAAGTATATTATACCTAAACTCATGCAATCCCCGTCTCTCCCGTTAGGACAGATCATACAGTTTTCTGAGCTGCACAAACGATCATAGAGACGGTTTCGAACTAACTGGCGGCGTAGGGTATTGGATGGGATGTCAATAATCGTTACATAATTTTCAAGACCACTTTTTCTTAAGCACTTTTTAATGGCGTGACTTACCTCATTTGATATGAAGGGCAGCTTAAAGGGGATCCTACTTTCGTCTGAAATATTATTTTGGGAAACTACCCAACGTTTTCCTCTAACCCGAGTGGTTTCTATTTCGTAGCCACTGGAAATGGCTATTTTTCGTGCCAGGTTTTGCGATTCCTTCCTTTCCTCTTCTCCTGTACACACATTTTTAGTCATACGATACATATTTTTGATAAGTGCTTTTTTCATGTGTGAAGGATGAGAGGAGAGGCAGTGGACTAGAATGTTTTTACTACTTGGCCTGCGATACCATTTTGTTGTATAGCCGCTTACTGAGAGCTTTATTTGGATGTTTAAGAATGGAGGCCAGTTCTCGGTAGGTTTTTCTCGTGTAAATTTTATATACTCTGACTGTTGGTTTAATAATTCAAAGCACTCATCCATCTGTTCTTTTGTGGAACAGACGATGAAGCAGTCGTCTATGTATCGACAGTAGAGTAAGGGTCGGTGATCGAGAACTGGAGCTTCCACCTTAGACATGAAAGCGTTGGCAAGGCTTGGTGCTAAACGCTGCCCCATCGCCAACCCTCTAATTTGTGCAAAATATTTTCCAGACCACCTAAAGATTGAACAACTAAGACACTGTTTTAAGAGGGTCATTATTTGCGCAATCGACAAGCCGTGCATTTTTATTTTCTTTTCATGCTCTACGAGCAACTCGAGAATGGCTTGCATTGCGGTCATTGGACACGTTGGTATAAAGTGAGATAAAATCGAATGGCTCCATTACATGCGTGCTGTTTGGTTGCGCGCACCTTAGGTGATCTAGAAATATTTTGGTGTTAGGTAGATGATGTGGGATGAATTTTAGCAGATAGGTTAGGATATGGTTTAGGAATTACGTTATTCTATCCGTTGGCCCGCCTATACAACTGATGATAGGTCTAACTTTATATGATGATGGGTTCGTCGACGTAATATCATCAGTTAAAGTAAGCTTATGTGTTTTAATAAGCAAGTAAAGGACAGAGCAAATCGGGTGTTCGTTCTTAAGTTGAAAAACAACTGAAGGAAGGAATCGCGAAACCTGGCATGAAAAATTGCCAGTTCCAATGGCTATAAAGTAGAAGCCACTCGGGTTAGAGGGAAACGTTGGGTAGTTTCCCAAAATAATATTTCAGACGAAAGTAGGATTCCCTTTAAGCTGCCCTTCATATCAAATCAAGTAAGTCACGCCATTAAAAAGTGCTTAAGAAAAAGTGGTCTTGAAAATTATGTAACGATTGTTGACATCCCATCCAATACCCTACGCCGCCAGTTAGTTCGAAACCGTCTCTATGAACGTTTGTGCCGCTCAGAAAACTGTACGATCTGTCCCAACGGGAGAGACGGGGATTGTATAAGTTCAGGTATAATATACTTGATCTCATGTAATGCATGCGGCGAGGAATATATCGGGGAAACGGGTAGACCACTTTGTGTCCGCACAAAAGAACATCTAGATGGAAAAGCTAAAATCCGTTTAAACACCCCTCTAGGTACGCATAGGGCACAAAAGTACAACGGCGGTGATTTTGAAGTGAATGTGCGGATCCTAGCGCAGGAATCGAGAACATCAACGCGCAGAACTCTTGAGGCGTTTTGGATAAATTTCAAAAATCCAAAGATGAACCGGAAGGACGAATGCCTCACTATCACGCGTGACCTGGCGCCCTATTTCAAAATGATATTTTGACCCCGGGGTGTGTCTTGCTCGCGACTCCACGTGAACTACGTGTGGGCCAGTCCCGCACGTAACATCACAGTGGCCTTTCTGTACAATATGGCGTCTATTTGAAAGTTTGGTCCTCATTAATACTTTAACCTTTCTTTTCCACCGAATAATAAAAATATTCTAATACAAAATACGTCCAGGCACTGAGGAAGGCGAAGTCGCCGAAACGTCATCCATCGATCAATAACATCAAGAACAACGACAACAGCAACGAAGACCTGTACCAACCTCGCGTCAGCTAATGAAATATGTTTGTGGTTGTATATACTATAGTAAAAATTGTCTCCAAGATGATATTATAGATACCTGGTTCAGAGAGGTGTACTTGAAGCAGCAAAGAAATCCTTAATGTTCTATTTCAATTGCAATGATGAAGCCGCTGAAGTTCACCTAATTCATATCAAAGTAATTTTATGTACTTTTACTGTGTTTTTGCTTTTTCTTCTGAGCCAGTGAGAACTTAGAGCACCCTTCTGTCTGGGACCGTGAAATAAATGAGAAGCGATACATTCGATGTTTATAGTGTTCGTCACATTACAATAATTTCTTTATTAAAGGCGCTTTGTCTTTTTGTTTGCTGTTAGGAAGAACAAAAACTACTCGAAGACTCTCACACAATGGTCGATGTAATGAAAGCAGCATCTCTAAGAAGAAAAACGTTTGTCGGAATTGTCGTGATACTCGCTATGTCATTTAGTGGTATTACAGGTTTGTTATGTCATTTTGATAAATCTTCTTAGCAAATCAAAACGTCCTTAGATGGTTAAACTTCTTAGTAAAACGTTAAGGAAAGACAAGAAAAGAAAAAGAAACGAGGACTGAAAGTTTTTTAGTGTACAATGCCACAGAAGAGAATAAGGTTAAGAAAGTGTTGCACTATGAAATAAGTGATGTGCTGTGAATAAAATATTTACTAGATAATCTTAATTTTGCTTAGAACTTAGAATTTACCAGGTTGTTTTTAGTGATTACTAAATTCCTAAAAAAAAACCTTACACTACTGCATCACTGAGATTTTCTGGATAAGTTGGTGCATTATTCTTGTTACGCTAACACCACAAGAAGTTTGAAAAGAAATTTTCATAGTTCTTAATAAAAAAAAGCCTTTAAATAAAGCAATACCAAGTTTTTGTAAAAAAAATGCTCTTGTAGTTATCAACGCATATGCAGTTGAACTTCTACGGAGCACTGGTTTAACGTCACTTCAAGCTTCACTGGCGAACGTTGGCATAGTAGCCGTTGGTATGGTTGGTCCCTATTCCCTTCTTATTTTACAAAAACTCAATATCCGATTACTATCAATATGCGTATTAAATGGCTACTTTGGATACTTTTGCAGATTACTGGATTATTAACTAATGTGGTACGAATTAATTTCATTATCCACCCAATTCACATTTAACGATTTTCGCAGTTCAACTAATGCATCAATCTTTTCCTTTTTGAGAAACAAGCTTGGAAATATCTTACCAAACTATTAGGCATAGAAAGACTGGTTGGGCCTAAAACAGCCACCAGAATCTGTTTACTTAATGATTTATCTACGTCACCATAGAAAGGTGTTTCTGTTTATTGGAGTTTGCCTGACCGACGAGCTGCTATGTGCTTAACCTCCAGAAAGATCACCCAGCATATCAATGGGTTAGATATTTTTATCTAAAAACTTTCCTTTGAGTGCACCTGGCGAAATAGTCGTGTCTATCTTTCTTCTAAAGCTTTTATGCCTAGACCGCTACGGTTATCGTACTTCTTTGGGTGGCCAATAACACGGGAACAAGGGTTGATGTAAATGGAAATGAGTGAAATTTATGCTGTCCAAAGAGAATAGGGTAACAAGTGAATTTCAGGAAATTGGAAGGGTAAGGCTTCATATGAGAAAATCTGTTTACAGGTTGCAGCAGTAGTATCTTCAATGGTTGTTGACAAATTTGGTCGACGGCCTCTTCTCCTAATTGCTTTTTCCGGCTGTTTAATTTGCAATGTGCTCATTTTTTCTCTGCTGCTAGCATTTAACATGTGCAAGGTAAGCATTACAGTTTTAAACTGTGATTCAAGTATAGTCTTGTGTCTAATGATTCTACATTGCAAATTCTGCGATGACACAGAAAAATTAATCTTATCTTCAATTTAATGTTTTTTTGATGAGCAAGCGCGAGTTTATTATTCACCTGTATCACCTATAGTCCCGTTGATCGTCGAGTCACTCGAGCGGGCGCCAGTAAATCTTCCATTTTTCCCTGTCGCGTGCAAGATTAGCCCAATGGGTTCTGCTCGCTCTAGGGACTCGTCGAGCATAATGTCTTTCTTCTAGGCTTTCGTGAAGAACTCTGACCATCAAGTCAGTGGTCTTCCTGCAGTGCGTTTAACATCCTGATGAATCCAGTCAGTGACGGCTCTTGTCGTTCGGTTGTCACTCATACACATTGCGTGCCCGGCCAACCATGTCTTCGAGTATTTGGCGTACAGAACGGCATTTCCGACTTTTGATCGTTGACGTGAGTCGGAGCTTCGGATCCCACCCCTTACTTGTGTGGAATGGGATACTCCTAGCATCGTCCTTTGGATTGAGCGTTCGATAACGCTGAGTGACCTTTCATCCTGCTTACGAGGCGACCAGGTTTCTGACGCATACGTTAAGGCAAGAAGTACCGTTGAGTCGAAAAGGTAAGCACGCAGTCGGGTGTTCTTTGTTCTCTTCACTACATCCTCGTTGTACTTGAAAGCTCCCCAAGCCGCTCGTTTCCTTCTGCTCAGTTCTGGAGCTACGCCGTTCATCATATTGATTTCCCGACCTAGATATAACTGGAGCATTCGGAGATATTCGTTCCGTTGAGCGTCAGTGGGGCATGCAAGGCCAATCCGTTTTTCATGAACATCGTTTTTGTGAGATTTAGTCGAAGACCAATCTTTCCGCGGCTTTATCGGAGTCGTCAACCATACGTTCCGTTTGGCTAGTGTTTGGTGTTATAAGGACATTGTCAACAGCAAAGCTAAGATGGTGTAACTGCCGACCGTCAATTTTCACTCATATATTATCCATTCCAATGTTCGCATGACGTTTTGGAGGGTGGCGGTAAATAATTTTGGCGAGATGGTATCGCCTTGTCTAACTCCTCTTTTGATGTCAATGTTAATATCGTTGTAGAATGGTGATACCTTGGTTATCAAATTTTTGTACAGCACACGAAGAATCTTTATGTGCTGAGCAGCGACTCCTTGACTATAAAGGGCTTCCAGGATTGCTTCCATCTCAACTGAATCAAAGGCTTTCTGCAAGTCGATGAAAGTGAGACAGAGCGGTCTTTTGAACTCTTGCGATACTTCAATGAACCGTGTTACCGTGTGGATGTGACCCACCGTACTAAATCCTTTCCGTAGACCTTTTTGTCCACGTGGCTGTCCTTCATCTGTTCTTTCAATCCTGTTTGGGATAACTTGAGTGAAAAGTTTGTAAACGACAGAAAGCAAGCAGATTAGGCGATAGTTGCCGATATCGTGCAGATCACACTTCTTGAACAATAACACGGTCATGCTGATCGTCCACTGAGTAGGAACCTTGCATTCAGACAGGTAACGTGTGAAGAGCCCAGCCAGTGTGTTTACGATGACTGGCGAAAGGTTCTCCAGGTGTTCTGGTCTTATCCTGTCCGGACCTGGTGCTGTTCGATTTCTCAACGACGAAATGGAATGTCGGATTTCGGAAGGGAGAACCGGTGGTACAGCATATCCATCCTCATTTATTCCATATGACGGAGGGGGGACGTGGCTATCAAAGAGATCCGAGTAGTATTCGTAAATGATTGTTTCCATTGCCTTTTTGGAGGCTGTAACTGTTCCGTTTGGGCGCCAGAGAGTAATCATTTTGGTCTTGTAATTGGTGAAGCTTCGGTGTGCTTTGCTAATGCATTTCCCAGTCTCTGCATCCTCTACCATTACTGCTGTACTTCTCTGCTTTAGAACGTGTTTTATCGCCTGTCTGCTTTGTTTTGCAAGCTCTGACGTTAGATAGCGGTTGCCTGCAGCTCGTGCGATTCCACGCTGCCGTATCAGCTTGAGTGTTTCTGGAGACAGACGTCTCTTGGTGACTTTCGAACTCTCAGCTTGTACTGCGTCAACGTGAAATTATTGAATGAGCCGATCGTATTCTTCATCGATGTTATCGACATCGGCATCTTCCCAATCGCCGACTAATGAATTGAATAAGTCCCAGTTTACGGTGATTCTGGGACTTCGGTTTTGGAACTTAGTGGCTTTTTCTCCTTTCCGCGAGAAATAGAATCTTGCAGGAAGAAGATGGTCTGATCCCGTGTAGAATTTTGAGACAACAGCGACATCGGTTAAGAAAAACCTTCTATTTACTATGATGCGGCCTATTTCGTTATGGCACTCTCCATTGGGAGACTCCCACGTCCAGCGCTGAGGATGGGGCTTCAGGAATTGCGAATTACCACGGATTGTCTTGGTCGCCGTGATAAACTCAGATAGCCGCTCACCTTGTTCGTTCCATTCTAATCCGTGGGTTCCAATATGACGTTTTTCAAACGTTCTTCTTGGTAAAATCTAGGCGTTGAAATTTCCAATGATGACCTTGAAGAATGTGTGGTCTTCTCTGTAGAACTTCTCCAAGTCCACATAGAGCGCTTCGACTTCTTCTTCGTTATAGTTTGATGTCGGCGCGTAAACGACGAGAATTGTCAAAGCCTGCATTGATCCACTTCTTTTTAATCGTAAGTGTCCGATTCGGGTTCTAAGTTGTTCGAATGAATCGATATTCATGGACAAACACATGTCGACGAGAACGCCGACACCGCCGCCTCCTCTATTGTCGCATGTTCCGAGGAACTGATCTTCTCTGGTGTCATAGACGGCATTGAAAGGCTGGCGTCTTCTCGTCTCGGCCAGACCAATGACGTCGTACCTTATCCTTCTTGCTTGCATGGACAAGTATCAAGGACTTGGATGCAAGTGTACGTGCATTGTAGGTACAGATCGTCAGCAGAGTTCTTTGAAATCCAGGCAACTTCCACTGGTTCTGAGATTTAGCAGCCTCTTTGTACTCGTCCTACCCAACGCTACGAAATTGGTGGCTCTTTCGGGGTCGGGGGAATAAAGTCCGTTTTTTTGTTTCTGTTTTTAGCATTTTTGATACCCACGTATAGCTTGCTGGGCTCTGAGCGTGGGGCTGGGCATACTCATGAGTAGCTTGCCATGCTCTCCCAGAGTGGACATGCACTTGTTGGAGGCGACTCCTAACAGCCTCCCATATGTGTTTTCCTACCATTTGGTTGCAAGGTTTTGGCCGAATTGACTCGTAGAATGCAATCCGCATAAGCGAGAACGCACTCACACACGGGTGCATGAATGCGCCTAGCAAATACAAAAAGTATGTGCCAGCGCAGCAGAAACAGGAGTCCATCCCTGGATCCACTTTCGTCTCTGGAAAGCAAAGGTCGCTTTTGGTCGGCGATTAGTTCCCTATCCGCCACCTTGGGAAGCGCCACGTAGCCTCGTGACTAACCGGTTTGTGATCCCTCATATGATGGAGATCCGTGGAGTTTATTATTACAGTATTTATTTATCTACAACAGCTAACATTTCTGAGATTTCGCATTCTTCGGACCCTGGAAAGGTCAAATTGCAGGAAATTTACTCAGGCAGCACTTTCATGAACTTAACAGACCGAACTTAATCTATAAATTTTTATTCGTATAATAGACTGATTTCTTTGAACACTCACGGTCTTATTCTTTGCAAGTCTTCTAGTTACTGGCTGGAAATCAGTCTTGCAGAGTCCTAAACAGGCGAAGGATGTCCCCAGCTCTTGTCAAAAAAAATCAGCTTGAGGTATGGCTCTAGGTCACGCGTGTTCACAAGAACCTCCTCCTCATGGTTATATTTTTTGATTTCTCGAATTCATCCAAGGATTCAAAAGTCTCACGCGCTGATGTTCTCGATGCCTGTGCGTGGATAGTGACCTTTGCTTCAAAACCTTTTCCTTTATGTCTCTGCCAAACTTATTCAATAACCGTCTACACCGTTAGGGAACAAAATGGAATTTTGGTTGTACATATGAGGTGATATAGGCGGTGACGAACTAGCTAGCGTCCGAAGGTGCTCGAAGGTATTACAATCAATGTTCTCAAGCTCTATAGATCTTTTTCTTAAGCAACGTTCTATGGCTACACTTATGAATGAACGGTAGGATAAAGCTGACCTTATTCTCTTTAGAATTATCGTTTGGAGACCGCGATTTTCTCTCTGCTGTTACCACAAAGTGCTGTCGTTTCGTAAGCATTGGAGGTCGCTATTTGCGAGGTCAATTTCAGGCACTGCTCCTTCTGCTCTCTTCCTGTCCACATCCTGGTAGCTGTTCGAAATACTTTCTTCACAGCTTTTATTACCTGAGTTTCTGCTCCACTTGGAGATGTAGCCGTTTTCGGGTAGCTTAATTTGATCGTTCAGAAATGGATGCCAGTTATTCTCTGATTTTTCTCGGGCGAATTTTATGTACTTTGACTGTTCTTTCAATAACACAAAGTACTTGTCCATCTCGTCCTATGTGGAGCTTGACAAAACAATCATCTACATACCTACAGTAGTATAATGGCCGGAGGTCTATTGCTGGTGCTTCCACTTTAGACCAATGGCAAGGGTTGTTGCCAGTGGCATTCCCATTTTCAATCCTCTAATTTATGCGTAATATTTCACGTACCACCTGAAGATTGAGCAGTTTAGGCTCTACCTTCGAGAAGCCACACATGCTTATTAGTTCGCTGTGTTGCTCAAAAAGCTCACGGATGGCTTGCATTGCGAGTCATTCGACAAATTTGAATAAACGCAGCTGCATCGAAGGACTCCATCACCTACGCGCTGATAGGACGCGCTACGCGATCCAAAAACATTTAGATAGTCGCGAGATGGACTGGGTTGTGGCTTCAGCAACCAGATGAGAATTAGGTTTATAAACCAAGCTGTTCAATTAGTAGGACTGTCTACACAGTTAGTGATCGGAATAACCTTGAAGGCTGAGGGGTCCGTAGACTATGGATCACCAGTCGGTGCTAACTTTTGCTTTCTGGTAAGTAAGTATAAGTATTTTCAAAATCATTGATTGTTTTAGATCCTGCGCTCTTGCCACTTTGCCCCACTTCGCGTTTTACTGTGCAAATAGAATTTTATGTATCACCTATATCATACGTAGTCCCGTTGATCGTCGAGTCACTCGAGCGGGCGCCAGTAAATCTTCCATTTTTCCCTGTCGCGTGCAAGATTAGCTCAGTGGGTTCTGCTCGCTCTAGGGACTCGTCGAGCATCATGTCTTTCTTCTAGGCTCCTTGTGAAGAACTCTGACCATCGGGTCGGTGGTCTTCCTGCAGTACGTTTGACATCCCGAAGAATCCAGTCACTAACGGCTCCTGTCCATCGGTCCATGTCCACTACATTCATACGCATTACGTGTCCGGCCCACCATATCTTCGACTGTTTGTCGTACAGAACGGCATCTTTGTTTTTTGATCGTTGACGCAGATCAGAGCTTCGGATCCCATCCCTTACTTGTGTGGAATGGGATACTCCTAGCATCGTCCTTTCGACTGCGCGATCAATAATGCTGAGTGTTCTTCCATCCTGTTTACGCAGCGACCAAGTTTCTCACGCACGCGTTTACGCAAGAAGTACCACTGAGTCGAAAAGGTGGGCACGGAGTCCGGTGTTTTTTGTTCTCCTCACTACTTTCTCGATGTTGTTGAAAGCTCTCCAAGCTGCACGTTTCCTTCTGCTTAGCTCTGGAGCTGTCTTCAAAATGTTGGTTTTCCGATCTAGGTAGATATAACTGGAGCATTCGGAGATATTCGTCTCCTTTAGCGTGAATGAGGCATACTAAACCAATCCGTTAAACGTCGTTTTTGTGAGATTTAGTCAAAGACTAATCTTTCCACAGGCTTTCCAAATTCGGCAAGCATACGTTTCGCTTGGCTAATGTTTGGTGTTATAAGGACGATGTCATCAGCAAAGCGAAGATGATGTAACTGCTGACCACCGATTTTGCTCCCATATTATCCCATTCCACTGTTCGCATGACGTTTTAGAGGGTGGTGGCAAATAATTTTAGCCAGATGGTATCGCCTTGCCTAGCCCCTCTTTTGACATCAATGTTAATGTCGTTGTAGAATAGTGACATCTCGGTTGTGAAATTTTTGTGCAGCTCGCGAAGATTCCTTAAGTACTGACTAGAGAGTCCTTGAGTATGAATGGCTTCCATGACTGCTTCTCTCTCACTTGAGTCGAAGGCTTTCTTTAAATCAATGAAAGTGGGAAAGAGCGGTCTTTTGTCCTCTCGCGATACTTCAATGTGTCTCGTTATCGTTAGGATATGCACGGTCTTGCGGGTCTTCCACTGAGTAAGGACCTTGCATTCAGATAGGTAACGTGTGAAAAGCAGAGCCAGTGTGCTTACGAGGACTAGCGGAAGCTTCTTCAGGTTCTGATGTTCTGGTCTTTTCCTGCACGGACCTGGTGTTGTTCGATTTTTCACCGACAATATGGCATGTCGGATTTCGGAAAGAAGAACCGGCGGCACAACATATCCATCCTCCTTTATTTTACGTGACGGAAGGTGGAGACGTAGCTATTAAAGAGATTTGAGTAGTGTTCGTGAATGATCTTCCCCATTGCTTTTTTGGACGCTGTAACTGCTGCGTCTGGACGCCGGAGTGCAATGATCTTGGTCTTGTTACTGGCGAAGCTTCGGTCGGCATCCCGCTTGCTCTTCCCAACCTCTGCAGCTTCAACCATTGCTGCTGCTTTACTCTTTTTAAGATCCTCTTTTACCACTTGTCTGCTTCGTTTTGCAAGTTCGGACGTTAGTTCGCGGTTGCCTGCATCTCGCGCGATTCCACGCTGGCCGATCAGCTCGAGTGTTTCTGGCCCGAAGACGTTGAATGAGGCGATCGTGTTCTTCGTCGATGTTATCGACAACGGCTTCTTCCCAACGGCCGACAAATGAATTAAATAAGTCTCAGCTGGCTGTGGTTCTGTGTCTTCTGTTTTGGAATTAAGCGGCTTTTTCCCCTTTCCGCGAGAAATAGAATCTTGCAGGAAGAAGATGGTCTGATCCCGTGTAGAATTTTGGGACAACAGCGACATCGGTTAAGAAAAACCTTCTATTTACTATGATGCGGCCTATTTCGTTATGGTGCTCTCTATTGGAAGGCTTCCACGTCCAGCGCTGAGGGTGGGGCTTCTGGAATTGCAAGTTACCATGGATTGTCTTGGTCGCCGTGATAAACTCAGATAGCCGCTCACCTTGTTCGTTCCATTCTAATCCGTGGGTTCCAATATGACGTTTTTCAAACGTTTTTCTTGGTAACATCTAGGCGTTGAAATTTCCAATGATGACCTTGAAGAATGTGTGGTCTTCTCTGTAGAACTTCTCCAAGTCCATATAGAACTCTTCGACTTCTTCTTCGTCATAGTTTAATGTCGGAGTGTTAACGATGAAGATCGTCAAGGCCGGAATTTATCCAAATCCTTTTAATCGTAAACGTCCGATTTGGGTTGTTAGCTGTTCGAATAAATCAATGTTCATGGACAAACTCGTGTTGACGAGAACGCCGACGCCACCGACTCCTCTACTGTTGCATGTTCCGACGAACAGTTTTTTTCCGGTGTTATACACGGCGTTGAAAGGCTGGCGTCTTCTCGTCTCAGCCAGGCCGATGACGTCGTACCTTATCCCTCTTGCTTGCATGGGCAAGTATCAAGGACTTGGATGCAAGTGTACGTGCATTGTAGGTACAGATCGTCACCATAGTTCTTTGAAATCCAGGCAGCTTCCACTGGCCCTGAGACTTAGCACCCTCTCCGTACTCGTCCTACCCAACGCTGCCAAATTGGGGCTCTTTCGGGGTCAGGGGAATGAGGCCCGTTTGTTTTTACTGTGTTTAGCATTTTTGATACCCACGTATAGCTTTCTGGGCTCTGAACGTGGGGGCTTGGCATACTCATGGGTAGCTTGCCATACTCTCCCTGAGTGGACATGCAGCTTATTTGTTGGAGGCGACTCCTAACCGCCTCCCATATACTTCCCAGTCACTTAATTGCAGGGTTTTGGCCGAATTGACTCGTAGAATACAATCCTCATAAGCGAGAATGCACTCACACACGTGTGCATGAATCTCCTAGCAAATACACAAGGTATGTGTCAAATAGGCGCAGCAGGAACAGGGAGTCCTTCCCCTGAATCCACCTGTATCTCAGGGAAGGAAAGGTCGATTTTGGTCCGCGATTAACCACCTATCCGCTACCTGGGGCCGCGCCAAATACCCTCGCGGCTAACCGGCTATCAGGATTGCTTAAATGGGGGAGACCCATGGAAATTTCGGAATGACAAGGGATCTGAGGTTTTGTGTATTAAGATTGATCATGCCGAGGTTATGTAAGTGTTCGGATCAGTAGATTTCTCACCAGTTTGACCATTGAGCGCTCCGAAGAAGATGAAGCCGCCGAAATATCAGTTATTGTGAAGAAATAAGCGCTGTAATAACAAACTCATCTTTGCTCGTCAAGAAAACAGTAATTTATTGATCAATACCGAAGTAAAAAGAAAGTTGGCCCTTGGTTTAACCCTAAATGTATTTCTGAATTGACATTGCGCCCGCGATATCAGGCTAATCAGCCTTTCAGAGTGAGGCAATATTATCTCCTCATCCGATCTGTTACGTCATCACAATATCGTATGACTTCTGCGACATTTAAGCACCAGTGTTAGATAGAATCAAAAATTCTGATTCGGGAATAAAACGACATTGCGGTACCCTTCGATGGTTTCGGTGATACGCTATGAATTCCATGTTTCACGTATTGTATTTCCAAAATCCATCACCAAATACTCTTGGGAAGTCATGAGAAATTTCCCATTCTACTCTGCATGCCCAAGTCCAGTAACTTTTCGTCAACTTGCTCGATCTCCTGAAAGGATGGTCTCCACTTTTATTTTATACATTACAGCGTTGATTACTGCTTACAAAGTTGGCCAATCCTGGCTGCCAGGTGAGACGGATGATCACTTATGAGATGTGAGCGTATTATTTTAGGAACATACAAGACCGTCAGAGAGAAAAGATGGCATGGGCTAAAAAAGATAATAGACAAAACTGAAACCTATAGTGAAAAAAAGACAAGGTGCTCTACAATAATCTATCCATTATGAAGTGCGTTCGACTTAGTTAGGAATCTAAAGGTGCTTGAATTCGAAACTGGCCTATATAGTGGCTCATAGCGTGATGCGAATTTCTCAACGCCATAAGGAGAGCCATCCCTGGTCAGCTCGGGACACCGGATTAAACCAACGATGATGTATGTATTACGAAGCAGCTCTTGTGCCACTTTCTGAGCGAACCAGTGCGCTTAATACACTTTCTATATTCACACGACCTAAACAAAAATAGTGAGGTGATAATTTCAGTATAAAGTTCTTGGTTGGATCCTCATCGCTATTGTTTGCTTGTTCACCGTCTTTGTTGCAATCGGTCCTGGTCCACTGTGTTATTTTATTACCGCTGAATTAGTTGGCCAGTCGGCAAGAAGTGGAGCACAAAGCTGGGCGAGTGTGGCACAAATGTTGAGGTAAAATTCATTTCTTTTACCCTTTTTTAAATTCACTCAATCTCTCAAAAAGCAAGGCTAAAGCCTCGGTGAAGTGGTGGTTAGCTTGTGCACCCAATCCCACAGTTCTTATACCTTTCGATAACTATTTGGCAAATTCTTTTAACAAAGAATCACACAGGAATGAATCAAAAATTCATTGGACAAGAAGGTGGAAAAGTCAATCGATACTTCCACTGCTAAATTGTTCCCCTGGCACCCCGGTTTACCCCTTCATAATGAAGGGACTTCGTTCCTGCTTTCAAAATGCAATTACCAGCGTGAGTTCGCCTTTTCAGTAAGGTCTCCAAAAACGAGGAGAAGCTAGCTATTTTCATCGGAAAGCTGACGAAAAAAAATATTGCAAGAAATTAGTGCAGTGTGGCTACAACATAGTAGCCCCTTTAGGGTGAAGACTTAGAATACTGCTAGCACGCCTATCCAGATTCCGTGGAAGAGAATCCTTCCCGACATGTAAATTACCAGTCATACGGAAACTATGCAATACTCCCGCGGCTTTTCATAATTTGTAAAGCAAGGCCGCTCTATTTAATAATAAAGAAAAAACGAAGAAGAGGATTTTCCATAAATCTAGAGCCTTCCATCTATACGTAGTATAATGTTTTCATGGATAATCTTTTATTTATGCAAAAATCTGCAACAAAAAACATGTGTGGATAATAAGAGATCTTTTACAACAAAGCGTATAATGTACTTTGGGAAACTCGCCAGACCCCATGCAAGTAAGTAGCATTCAGGTGACAGGCTGGCGGTCTACTTTTACTTAATCAACAGCCAGAAACGCCAGCAACAACGGTACTTATTTCAGTGATTCAAGAAAAGTACAGGTAGCCTTAGATGGTGCCACCTACGAAGAATGTTATGAAATCTTGCAGCAATATGGACTTACTGATTTTTTATGAAGAGGACTAGCGATTCATAATTACAAAGATCATGCTGTACTACCAAAATTTTACATCGAAGACGTGGTGACGTAGGTGAAAAAGACCACCTACCCTACGACTACATTGGCAAGCCAGTGAATATACTTACTAAAATAACAGAGCCAGCGTTAACAATATATAAATCCTTTTCTTTTACGCTGCCTATTTTGCTACGTAGAGGTTTTTTACGCCTTTTAATCTAATAACTTGTCCAAATGTAATGCCCCGAAATCCGTTCGAGAAAGGTGTTTTACTACACAAATAATTCGCGAAAAATTGTTTTAGGAAGTGTTCGCCCGTATGTTTTAAATCTCGTGGTGGGAGGACCACAGAAATAATTTTGCTGAGAACGTTACAGAGATAGTGAGCGCATCCCATATGGAGAGGATAGAAAATAGAACGTGCAGCACGTGAGACCCGTCACGACCAATTGTCTTTTCTGCTGACAACGAAGCAGGACTGTTGGTAATAGGAATGGCACCGATAACTTGCAGGTACCGCAGTGGAAACTTATGAAAAATTGAGATAGCTGAGAAGAACGGAATTAGGAGGCGGAAAGTTTGCTTCACTTCATCAAGATAGCCGTGATTCTTCCGTTAACACGCAAAGTAAGACTTTAGAAAAATCTGAAATTGGAACTTGTTTACGTAGTTCAAGCTACAATTAGGGATATACTGTACTTGTAATATCGACGTGAAAGACGCCTGGCTCATTTACTATCTCACGATGGCGCTATAGAAGCGGAGAGTGTCAAAGCCATCAAGATAGACTACATCTAAAATCCTTAGACCTAATACGCTATTGTGGAACTTACTGAGTTGCAAACCATTAATATTTTAAACCCTGGTTTGCAATGCACTGGGCAAGCGATGAAACAATTTGAGGAATGGAGAAAAGAGAACATTGTCTTAATTCGTAGGAATCGAGCAGAGAATCACCAACACCTGCCGAGAGTTCACCATTGATGAGAACGAAGGATTGCTTCCATGCGTATGAAAAAATTGACCAGTGAATCCTGAAAGACTATGGAAAAACTCATGCATCCCGAAATTCTATTTTTAAAAGTTACTTAAAAGTTTAAGTAGAGGTTAAAGCAACACAGTTTATATCATAATTCCTTCATACGAAACGAATATGTATAGACTGTGTAATAATGATGTGTAATAGTACGGTATTCAAATAGAAGAAGCGTCGCTTAAGCATGTAGAGGAGAAATGAAGTTCTAAATGGTGCATTAATTTTCGACAAAACGACAACGTCACATCTCGCCAGGTGGCACAGATTTCTTTTAGTCGGGCTTTCGGATGAAGATATGCAATTAAAACGACACATTTCAGTAGCAAAAAGTAGCATGATTTCGGCCTTTGGGAAGGTCTCTATGTTAATCTCATGTGTTGGTTTTCTTTTCTTTATTTCAATAAATTTTTTTTAGATTAATCGACGTTAGTGATGCCAGATTATCAGGATTAAATATCCTCCATTCTCAATAGAGACAACATTTGCTATTGTGATGAAACTTCTGTTACATTAACGGCAATTCTTGAAATATGCTAGGTTTCGAATCATTTATCAAATGAAGGATTAAGGCGGAACTCATTACTGGTTCACTATTTCCAAGCAGTCATGAAGTTCCTCTTTATCAAATTGTTTTCAGAAACATTTGAAAAAATTTCTTGTCAAAAGAAAGCGAAAAACATGTCTACAGTTGCAGATATGATCATAAAAGAAAGAATGAAACGGTCGGTTCCATTAACACGAAGAAAATCTTTCGTTTTATTAACACGATCTCCTTAAGATGTCATTAAAGCAGGAGCATTACTTGGCGATGAAAAAAGCATCTGTGTGCATTTTGTTTTATCCATAAAATTCTTATGATGCGCTTTTGCACTTATACCTAGAACCGTCCTTGAATTTGAAATGTAGAATTAATGCACTGATGCATATTTTTTAAAAAAATCAGAATAAACTATAACATATGAAAGCTCCTTTACAACGTCAAACATTACCATCTCTTCTGTAAAGAACACCGGCTATCAGGCCAAAAGGTTTTAGCTATGGTTTTGCTGTCACCTGTAGTCGATTCGTCGAGAGGTATTACCATCACCATGTTGTTGGTAGTTGACTTCCTTTGTCCGGCCTAACTGATTTTTGAGTGCTGTTCAGTGCTTCGTTCATTGCATAGTCGAAAACATAGATATCCTCTCACAGTTGGGTGGAAATGGACGACTTTAGCAGCATTCTCCGGAAAATGTGTTTGAAAATGACGTCAATCTAACTTACTGAATTGGATGGCATATAGAAAAGTTTTTCATTCGCTTTTTCTTTTTCCTATTCCTATTGGCAGTATTTCTCGGTACACGGTAGAAAAGCGGATGATGCTTCTCGGGTGATCACCTTTGAGATGATCATCTTGAGAGCAGATAATCATTTTATCTTCATGTTTCTATTGTTTTCCTTAAAGGCTCATGAAAAGGCTTACACTGTGAGTCTTTAAAAAAACACACTTTTTCTTATTCTTTTTTTACAACGTCATTACCCGTTTTCAGTCGTTTCCTGACTGTGATAATGTTTCTGCCAATGAAAAATTCTCTTGGTGAATCGTGGTCATATCTCCTATTATTCGTCCTACCAATTATTGTTGCGATCATTTTTCTTTACTATCATTTACCCGAGACAAAATGCAGAACTGCATATGAGGTAAGCACTTGTCTTTTTTTTAAAATTTTTTCTTATCTGTCTTTCAAATATCATCGCAGTCGATCACTTTTTCTACATCAATCACGAGGTTGCTATTAAGCACACGCTTACGTGTTCACGCATATAACACACAGCACAACAGCAGCTAACGTCTCGGCAGCATAGCCTTTTTCAGAGCCTGGAAGAGTACACTGATACGCAAATACTAGGTCAAACTCTTTGACAGGACAAACGGAAAGATGAAAACTTGAATAATGATTACATGATCACCGGCTTCTCAAAAAACCCACCGTTTTTACCTGCCGTTCACCTAGGATGAACAGCCGCTTAGAGTCGCATACGGTTGAAGACTCAACCACCCCACATCAAAAATCTGTTCTTAGATGCGGGGTGAGATCACGTGTTTTCCCAGGGCATTCTTCCCTGCTATTCATGGAGTTCAGGTACGATACACCTGATTTTTTGTAGTACTTGTGGAGACGAATAGGAAGTCGATCCTAGGCGCTATCAACACAATGTTGTAATAAAAGGATAAAGATATGTTTTTTTATGTCTCGTTCCTTTACAAGCTTTTTTTTGTCTTTTTTAATACGTGTCTATTTTTCTGATTCAGTTTGCCTTGAAATGAATGGGATTTCCTTCTAGGTTGACGAAGCTATTGCAAATCTTCCAAAAATCTTCACGTTAACGAGAAAATTCAAGAAGTCGAGGATCTACTCTGCATAACCGATCTATTGATAACTTTTTTAGTTTAACATTTAATTTAATAAAAAATATTGTGGGGCCCCAAATATTTGGGCGTTCCATGCATCGAAAAATGTCATTTTATTTGCCATTACAAGTTTGTTCAGCATTCAATAAACTTTAGCAAGTTTGTGATGAAAGACTGTGATGTTTTCAAGCCCAACGGATTTCATCGCTTACTCGATTTTTTGGTAGGCGCTTCTTGTTTTTTGTCTAATCAGTTTATCCACATGATCCGGCTATACCTGATCACTGCAGTTTTACACTTGGTTCATTGTCTTACATTCGTCGTCCTTCTAATTTGTATGTGATTTCTATTACCAGTTAAAGGCTTTGTCTAATTCCTGAATAGAATTCGTCTACATGTCGTTCGAGGATTTTTTATGCTAGCCGACTTTCACATCTACTATGTGGTTTCCAGCACTTTTCTCACTCGATTCGTTTCCTCGCATCCATCGTTCATAAAGATGTTCCACCTTTTCACGCGTAGCCTCGGCTGTTGCTTGAGGATAATCCTTTCATCATGAATGTCGTTAAATATTACTCATGTCGATTCTCTCTGGAGTGCTGACATACGCTCCGTAAAGTTTTCCCCTCAGGATTGCAAAGATTGAATTTTTCCCAGACAAGTCCGGCACCAACTTCCTGACTCCAGAGGAATGAGAGGCTTGGTGAGTCCAGAGCGGAACCGAATCAGTACCTTTTTCTTGGTGATCAACATGTTAGTTAATGATAACAGAGTTAATTCTTTTTGCAATCCTGTAATGGTTCTGCTAAAGCGGGCTATGTTCTTCACTGTAGAAAGTTACTTAAATTTGTGGAACAGAGGGAGCGTTTGTCGAAGATCCTGGCATCTTGGAGTGATGACAGTTTGGTTGGCCTGCTGGAGATCGAATCATGGCATGGCATGTATTTAATACGCTCTATCATTAACAATTGCACTTCTTAGCCCCCTTTTTGTTTAATCTTGTAAAAAGACATTGTGTTAAGCAACTTTAAGTCATGCTCGTAATTGTAATATGTAGGTAAAATTACTTAATGATGCTTACTTCAGAATGCAGTGATTCGCTACACAATCTGTAGTAGATTTAATAGAATAATTAGTACAAACATTTAAACTACATATGAAAGGCTCATTTCACTGAACGATTTATTTGCAATAAAGATTGATGGCCGCTGTGACCAAAAGCCGATCGCTGTGTAATAGTGTCATTAACGGAACTACGAAAAAGAAAATGAGAAGATTATGAAGAACGCTCCTTGCAGGGATAGAAATTAGTTGAAGTGGATTGTTTGTCTTCAGGTGATAGGTGTTTATAAAGATGAGCATAGTTGAGATACTCGTGTCATGTTCAGGTTGATCATGTTCAATGATTTATTGATGCCCCACATGCTTCATCTTACACTTCGTCCGAAAATACGCCCGTTTGTCGAGGTGGAGGCGGACGTGACTACTGACGTAACCTATTTCTATCTCAGTTGTCTTGTTGTGTGCTCCACGATACGCCTACATACTTTAGATAAATTTGAGATACACTAGAATATAGGTACGATTAATAATCACTTTGCCACCATTCATTTTATCCGAAACACGCGTTCTGAAGTTTTTCTTATTCTTCTACAGAATTGTTAAACCCATGTTAGCAACTAATTAGTTATTTTATTTTGATAGATACAAACTGCCTCTGTTCTGATTAGTTGAGGCATACGGCTTCTCACTGGTCAATTCACTATGCTTTTTCCATTTAGGAAGAAGCAAATAATTTTTTGATAAGGAAGGTTTCAATCCTCCAATCAACACCGACTACCCTATTTTTGTACAGGGATTAAGTGATACATATGTAATGTCGATATTTGTTCACAAATGAGTGCGAAGTTTAAGTAGTCGAAACCGGATTCAAATATTTGTAAAACACTTATAAACTGCTGCTGCTCCATTTTTATTCTCATGGAGAATAAGACTAACCAGTTCAACATGGAAGGGCTTCATTACTAGTGAAACTTGTCCATGTCGCCATGTCGGATATAGAGAGGGTCGATGAATATCAGCTGCAAGTTTTTGAATAGAAAATCTTCTTGGACCAAAGCTAAGAACTACTTCAGAAACCAAAAAACATTTGGAAGTACTGTTCATAATAAAAAAAACCAACTTAATGCTTTTTTTCGAAAGCGGAGATAACCGAATATTTCAATTACACTTCTTGTTCATCCTCAAATTACACTCTGGTTCATTTTCATTCAACATTTCAGGGTGTTAGCGGGAATATTACATTCCGACATTGCGATCACTATTTCTGAAGCTTTCAGCACATCATTCTGCATACCCTAGTGTTCATTGCTTTTTGTTCATTTAGAAATATCATTAAGTTAGTTAATTAATGGACTACGCTCATCGCCACAACGACGTTATAATGATCCCGAAGGTAGGAGGAATGACTTTTAGCTTTTAGAAAAAAAATAAAGAGCATGGAAAAAAAATCACTGAAAGCGACATAAGCTTTACTTTGTTGACCATTTTCTTTAGCGGAAATTTTTTCTCTTTATTAAATTCCGCCGAAAAAATTATGTTTAAAATTGGCGTTTGTTCAATCCTGGAACGCTTATTCTAATCAGAACATACCTACACTTCTTTGACCTTATGTAAAACGAATAAGGTTGAAAAAATATTTCATCTCTATGCCGTTCGAAAATAAAGCAAGAAATGAAAGCGAAATTTAAAGTTACGAGAAGCCTGAGTTCGACGGAGTTCCAAGTTCTACAGTGCATCGAAAAATAGTCAAAAGTCCAGTAAAGTTTATATATCTAGGCATATATGTACATATATATATAAATATACATATAGAGAGAGAGAGAAAGAGAGAGAAGACAATTGTTGTTGGCTATAATTATCCCATTACCACCTCATAGTATTCTATGACGGTTCTGCGTAACGATTCAGACTGAGCTCAGGTCATGCTCTTTCCTTGTTCTTCCTTTACTTTTGGTGGACCCGGATGCAACTTAAGGCACAACTCACACTCTCTCTAACTTCTCATTCTCCTACTTTTTCCTCATTTTTCTCATATAGCTCTTCAAACCCAGTAATCTGTTTCTCAATCACCTTCTCTTCTTTTCCTAACATCAGTAATACCAAATTGTCTGCTTTACATGAGCACCCATTTTCTGAAGGACACATCCGATTATGACATCAAAAATAGTTTATTCATAAAATTTGGAATATCTCACTAAATTTGTTATGTAAAAGATTAATAACAAGCTCCAATTAGACCGAAGAATGTGGTGAATGCACTGATTTCAATGCACTTGCAGCCGGAAACTACCTAGTTCTTCAAATTTAGGCTAGTATATCTCGATTAGCAACAGAAATTTTTAGCTAAATATTTTACCGATGAAACACAAACTCTACTGTCCTATTAATAAGAAGTTCTTATTTTCTGGAGGCGGGAGAAGTATGCTTCCATTTTTTTTTTTGTGGAATCTCGTATTTCAAGCGTTTAGGCAGTTGAACGAACAGGATATCGTCCAGTAGTACGCGATGATGATTCGATTCATTTTCTCGCATCTGTCTTCCATGAACGTCTTCGGATTTACGAGCACGCTTAGATGCTCTTTGAGAATTCTTCTTCTATCATTTTTCACGGACGACGTTAAGTGGTGGTAGAGTCCATTCTTTCTGGAACACTGAAACAGCTCTACTAGAATGTCTCCTCGCCTTCAGCATCTGCAGTCGCGAACCTTGGTAGAGCCGACTGAGGGTTTTCTGGAGAAACGCCTTATGCCAAATCACCAACGCCTGTGGAATTTATGACCCGATTCGTTCTGGGCGGAGAGAGAGACCACTGTGTATGCCACGGTATCTCTAACTACTGCCCTTCTCGCACCTTCGAACACTTGTCGAAAAAGAAGACAGGATGGGAATGTATTAGCTTGGGTCATTAGTATTTCTATGATCATGTTACTAAACCGATTTTAAGAAAGTCAATTTTAGTTTTCCTTCTCGTCTTGCATGCTCTATTGTTTAATAAACGAATGCACCTCTCTTTCATTGTGCTCAGCTGTTCGAAGGTGTCTCTTATGGTCCAGTAAGATTTAACCGAATTTAATTAGTGTGCTATATTTTGGCGATTTGCCGTGGAAACGAATGATTAGAGTTTTTTTACAATTTCCCATCTATGAAAAGACTCTAATAGTACTGCGTGAAGTTCTACATACATACTATATTCCATTTTTAAGGGCTTTTCCATACATCCTTTCCCAATCATCCTTAGTGATGCACATTTTTGTTCACTCCTCCAGTTCTACTATTCCGACACTGCCTTAAGGAGCTATTATTCTATTAAACATTTCAATACATACTGCATATGAAACTGAATTCTAGTTTGCTTTAAGATAAATTTTGAACAAAAATATTTTTGTTTGCATAAGCAAGAAGAAAGAATTCGATGAAGTAAGCAAAGATATATGCTTTATCAGGTATCAAATTTTCCTTACTTCGTCATCAAACGCCTTGGTAGTCCTTCTCCAAAAATTACATGTAGCAGCAGAATTTATATTCTTCTGGGATTCTATTTACTGAGATTTTCTACTTTTCCAGCCTCTAGGGAGGGAAAGTTTTTCAGTTTGTTGTCACAGGTAATAAGCAACTTGGAGAGAAGTTAACTGTTATGGGAGGAAGATCCTCCATGACTTGCTTTTCTGTCTCAGGTCAACACTTATTCCTAATGATGATGTCGAATTCATTTCTGTGTCAGGATTACTTTTATTTTAAATGATGATGTCAAAGTTACTTTCGTCTCGTTTGGTTCCGTTAGAAATGAACTAGTTTCTATGTACTGGAATTCGATACCTATGCACATCCCATTGAGTGCCAGAGCGTTAGGTTGACACTTTTATTTTATCGTTTACAGCAACCATTAGCCCTTTGTCTTAAAAGACAGGAATGCGTCGTTTTCTTGTTCAGCAATCGCGAGGTTGTTATACAGCATACATTTACTTCCGTAGAAAAGCACAATACAATAAAACAGTAGCTGATGTATCGACAGTATTGCCTTCTTCAGACCCATTTTTCACGTGTCTTCCACTGAAGAGTAGCTGAGGTTTCAGCAGTACGCCTTCGCCACAAGTGGGGCGGTGCAGTCGTTAACCATATGCGACTATAATCAGCTGTTCTACTCTTCACCATATGAAGTCACGAAAAAGAAGGCGCTGAAGAAGGCGATACTGCCAAAGCGTTACCTACTGTTGTATTGTATTGTGTTTTCTACGGAAGTAAATGTATGCTGTATAACAACCTCGCGATTGCTGCGACCAATTGCATTCATATTCCAGTGCCGAGGTTAATAGAAAGTCGATCCTGGGAACTGTTAAAACACAGGGTTAAGGCGCTTTGGCAAGCTGACTGAGTTCTGCAAAGAAATGATTCATTCGTTTCGAGTGATTAAATTGCTGTCATTCGGCGGTACACTATTGAGTACATCATTCTCATTAACGCATAAGCATGTGTTATTACATAAAACGCCAAATTACCAACATTTTCCTTATCCAGGTCGACCATAGATGTCAGAGCTGGATCAAAATGAAGCAGCTTCCGAAGCCGACATTGAGGAAGAAGCTATTTACATCAAGAAGGAGATAACCGTTGAAATGGATCAAATGGCCAATGGATTCCCACCCAAGCCAAGTAGGTTAATAATATGAGGAACTCCCGTAAAAGTACACTTATCGATTCATTAGCAATTATGTTGTTTTTGAGCTCTTTATGTGCTGAGACAAGGTTGTGTGTATGTATGTATGTGTGTGTGTGTGTGTGTGTGTGTGTGTGTGTGTGTGTGTGTGTACTTTATACTGTTTTGAGTTCCACTTTGGCTGTTACACTTCAGCTACAAAATGTACCACTAGAACAGCTCTATAAGAAAGGCGAAAATGCGTTGACAAAAACACAAGAAAGCACAAAAGAATAGTTTGAAGAAAATGAAAAAAGCTACGTACGAAAAATTGTTTTCAATGTGAAGAATTGTGAAGTGGTTTCTGCTAATAAGCAGTATTTTTGCATACGTAGAAGTGAAATCAAAAATGTCGTTATTCATTAAAGATTTCGGGAGAGCAGAAGCTAATTTTAATGTAAACGTAAGCAACATCTTCGTGGATTTTCAAGCTAACACGAGATTGATGAAAAGGTTTATTCGGCTTACGTTTCGACGTCTATAGGCTTAATAATGGTAGTAAATAATAAGTGTAGTATGTAGGAAAAATATGCGTTATAGTTTGTTTAGTGAAGCATAAAAATCTATCTACTAGACGGTACACTTAATAAATAATGAGTGTAACATTCGTAGTCATTCATTGTACACATACAGTTGCATAGTTTCAGCGAATATTGAGACAGCTGACGTTGAAGAGGAGCACAGTGTACTTCCAGTCGATGACGATCGAACAGAGGATCAGGCAAGTTTTCGCCGGTTTGTGTATCACCGACAGCCAACAGCAAACGCTGATAACGACACATGTGCCTAACTAACTGCTGACACCTCTCTACTTAACAACAATATGAGAAGGAGAAAAAAACGTGAAACGAAATCTATTATGCTATAAATACTGTGTTTTTATTAACTTGGTTTAATGCCGATTTTTGATCTCTGAATTATTCCTGTTGACGGGTGATTGCTGATAGTATCGCTAAGGTGAAGAACTGGGTGAGTGAAAGGCAAAGCAAGGGCTTGTTGGTGCAATGTTTAAACCGTGGATCCCTGGAAAGGGTAATCGTGGATTAGAATCTGGCCTAGGTTCCAAGTTTTCCAAATGCCTTATCATTATAGTGGTTGTATTTCACATCACTCCTTGCAGTAAAAAATTATAGTAAGTAATAAATGAAAAGTTAACATTGTGATATCGACTACAGCCTCAGATTCACTATGTTCAACGACGATTTATGTTCCTCAGATCACTGTCGTTCACAGGTGATTGCTGCTTGTGCCACTAGGTAGAAAAGAAAAAGGTAAGGCAAGGACGCCGATCATATAGTGGGCAACATTTGAGTCTCGTAATGGATAATCGCTGGTTCGAAGCTTCTCCGAGGTTACGAGTTTAGCTCATATCTCAACACCATAGTGGTGGTATTCCACATAATACCTTTGCCATTAAAAACTAATAGTCAGAAAATAAAACTTAAACATTGCGAATTCGTAGTTTTAAGTGAGCTGAGAATAAATTGCCAATAAAACTCTCTAAAGAATGTTGAATTTCCTCTTTATGAGGAAAATAATTGCGGAACTCAAAGCACTCCTGTATGATTTCCATTTGTGTCAGATGTTCATAAGGGTGAGCGGAAACTTGAAACAGTTATCGAACAGTATTAATAGCCGGCCTTGATGCATATTACGTCAGTTTATTATCCTTTGTCACTTACGTGTTCCATGAGAATGAGAGAACCTTAGGTGGCATGGAATGCACGAAGTTTGAGAATGTACACGAACTGTTGAAAGATGAGCTCAAAATTCTAAAATTGTATTCATTGTGTCACATTTTGGTTAGGGCAACAAAAAACGTTTTCTCTTTTTTTCTAATTTTGCGTACAGCACGATTTTTTTAGATGCGTATTACACAAGAGTAGAAGCACAGTTGGCTTCAGAAACACAACCATACGGATGCATTGGGATTATGAGATCCCCAACAGCTTTAGCGTGTCGAAGCTCAGTGAAGCGAAAACGCTTTTAGACAAGATCGGTAAAACTTGATAGCAGCAGTAATCACCTATCAGTGGTTACCGTCGCGATTTACCGAGTTCTGTACGGGAAGCTTTAATGAGCTTTAGCGAGTTACACGAGCTGAATGAGTTCAACGAGTTTCAATAAAGACATGATCTGCCAAAACTAATCTTTTTACAACGTGGGGTACTAAACGCTGTACGATTACACTATTCCTGTAATATCACAATTGGAAAAGATTCCATGCCAGAGAAGAAAAGACGTGGTGGAAAAAACATTAGCAGCTCCTTTCTTTCTTGATAACTTTTTTTCGAGAAGCGTTGTAATTTTTAAACGCGCTTTAGTGATAGTAAATTTAATGCACGTGAATAACGCTTATAACGCAACACATAGCTACTGGTGTTCTAGAAAATTTGCGAACACCATCAGATTCAGGCCGAAAAAATCTGGAATCGTTCTTCTCTTAGGTTTACCTTTCAGACTTTCTTTATGCATTTCAACTAACCACACTATTTGTTCAACGGAACAATGATGATGTTTTGAAATCATCGTGTAGATGACAGTTCAATGAGATCGTAGAACAAGAGTATCGGATTACATGTATTTGTTTCATGACGGATATGATGACTTCAAATCTTTTCTGCATTTATAGTTCAGACGTTTCTTTTTCTCCTCTATCTTCTTCGTTTACTGTAACCTTTTCTAATTTTTTCCCTTGTTTTTAGTGAGCCTCGCCACCCATGTACTCATTCACTTTCATTACCAGTAAATTTCTGTTTTCTTAATTTGTTACCACTACTAATGCAATTTTTAAGGTTCCTGACATCACTGGAACGGAAAACGTCGATCCAATGACAACCAGTATGGATGGCATAGAAGATTTGCCGGCAAACGAAGAGACCCAGGTTAAACAATACATTATAGAATTCTTACTTACTCGGTTACTTGAACGGATCGTCCTCACTAGTTGTGCGGGCACCAGTATAATCTCTATTTCTCGGAGTTTTGCTGATATAGCCACTATATTCCCTTAGTGCCTCGAGGTTAGCCTAGCCAAACTGTGCCCCAAGTCGTCACCACACAACCAGTCATCGCCTTTGTGGATCAGAGAGAGATTTACCACCATACGACTAGTTTAACACCGGGACTGTGGTGGATCCTGGTATTGAGTAACTCTTAGATGGGCTTCCTGATGGAGACACCGAACTCCTTCTCCGCTTGGGAGACTCTCTCGGAGGAATGAATCCTCTCGCTTTATCGTGGTCCAATACCCAGGAAAGTCTCACAGCCATGATGATGCGGTAAACTGTTTGATGGATTATAGAACTCAATGAATTTAGGTCTAGAGGTGGTCCGGATTACTGTGGTGTGCAAAGTAACACGCATTGCTGTTAAAAGAATGCGTTAACTAAGTAATGTGATTCTCGATGAATATAAATGTAAACAAAACATTCTTTTATTACAGTGCGAACTGACGTCTTTTTTTTTCTTTCTTAGAGAGCAACAGATCAACAAACCTTGTACTTAGTCATGCCATACTTTTCAATCATCTTAACTTTTGTGTGGCATTTTCGTCTCCTCAATACTTTGCGTAACATATTACTAAAGGAATGCGGTGGTACTATAATGGAAGAAGACGAAGACAGCATTGTTGATGTTGTTAGCCAATCTCATTCAATGGAAACAGAGAACGACATCAACGACGGCTTCCACTCGGCTCATGACGATCTGCCAATGCTAGCCGAAGATGACATTGATGAGGTTTTACATCTTCGCTAACATTTTTGTGTGCCATATTATGCATGATGATTCCGATAGAGATATCTCATGTAGTATCTGTTATATTTTAAGCAAACTGATTACTTACTTAGCTCTTAGACGATTATGGATCCGATTTTTGTATCACTTTGAACTTCTCATTTCATGAAGTTAAAAAGTGAGGATACTGTTCTCTTTGAAGATAACAGTTCAATTAGCGCTTCATTTGCTTGATTAACATAGTCACATAGTGAGTACAGTCAATTTAATAGTTGTGTGGCCCTCAATGTTACCGTAATCTTCAAAAGAATTCCGGTTTAGTACAGATCAAAAGGTTATAAAGTGTCCGACTTTAGATCGAATCGGACATAATTTGTAATCCCGAATTATATTTCGTCTCTTTTTCTACTAAAATTTCAACTCGAGAATCTTTCCTCACTTTCTATTCGCTTAATAATATTACACTAATCATTAGAGCTTCCTAAATCTCTGACAATGCTGTCGACTATTTCACTTTCGAAACTGAAGCAAAAATGGACTGGTTCAGGAAGTAGGAGACGGTGATGCGGTTGTGGTTGCTGCATCAGCAGAACAACAAGCAGAAGAATCGCATCCTGTAGCTTCTGAAGAACCAGCCGTTGTAGAAGAAAACTTAACACAAGAGGTAAGTTTACTTAGAGCAGGGGGTATTTCATACTCTTATTGACCTTTGCATGTGTTTCTTTTTCACTTTTTATGCACTCAGTTCTTTCATGAGTTTGAAAATTGGACAACTTTTGTGCATCGAAATGCCATTTTACAAAAAAAATAAGAGAAATGAAATTTTTTAGGAAATCACGTGTTGCTCGTGTTGCTTCAAGAGTTTATTTAAGTGGCTAAAATAATGTGTGTAGCAAGGGGACTAGTATATCTACAGTTACAGAATACAGAAAGTGAAGTTCCACTAGAAGAAGCAAAGACTATGATCGAATTCGAGACGATAGCTGAAGCGCAAGCAGATGAAGACACTGGTATTAATGAAAGACCCACGGTTGTTGAAGAAGATGCTGAGGAATTAAAAAACGCTGATGAACAGGTGACGTGATAAACGTTCAACCAAAAATTGATTGGTGCTTAAGATTAGCACCAATAGTGTCGGAGCAGTCATTTAAGAAAATCGATTGAAGCTAGAGCGCTACCATATAAATAGCATCATGTACAGACAGAATTGCCCCTGAATGTTTCATTGCAATGTAGAATGTATTTCCTACAGCGCAGGCGCAAGTTCAAAAAGAAAATATACTAATTTTAATAGACCAGCAAAAAGTGAGGCAAACCCATATAGCGTCACTGTTCTGGAAAAAGCCTGTTCACAAGGTGGCTTCCCTCCACTGGGGCACATGTGGTCAGCGACTTATTATGATGACAGAGAAGAAGACCTTAGTATAGCTATCTTCGAACTTCCAGGAAACATATTTATTCGTGCAGCATTACGATTAAAAGAAAGTTTCAAGGGTTCCGTATCAATTTTTTTCAACATCGGCTACTCAACTACTGAGGTATTCAGAAACAAATTTTGTGGCGCAAAAAGTCCACGTTATTTCCATAAGTTGTTGCTCCCTACTGTATTGTAGTAGAAAATGGAGAATATTTTAAAGAAGAAAAACCATCAAGCAATCAGTACGACTGCACAGTGGTCATAGGTTAGATTATCAAAAACAAAAGCAATTTCTTTGATGGAAGAGCAACAGTGCTATTAATGATGACAGCCTCCAGTTTTCACAATGATATTCTTTTTATATTTCTCTTTGTTCTAATCGATAATCAAATGTAGAACTTTATTCTAATGGTGCTCACCGTGATCCTCCTCTTGCACTTTTGATTCTAACAGATTTTTTTATCCAAATTTCTTCACGATTTCTTCACTTCAGAGCCTGGAAAGGTCAAGTTGATAGCAATCCACTCGGCCAGACGCCTCCATAACCAAACAAAGAAACTCCAAACCAAGATTTCAATCACGTTGAACACAGCTTTGCACACTCACCGCTTTCTATGAGGTTTCCACTAAGTATGTCACGTAGAGACCAACCGCGCAGAAATCACATGGAAGTATAATGTGCCCCTCCCATCAGAATAGCAGTCTTATATATTGCCCCACATCACGCGTGATAATGAGGCATTCTTCCCTGCGGTTCATTTTCGGATTTCTGTAATTAATCCAGAGTGCCTCGAGAGTTTTTCGCGCCTGTGTTCTCGATTCGCGTGCGAGGATCGTGACACATACTTCAAAGTCGTCCCCGTTATGTCTCTGGGTCCTATGCGTGCCTAGCGGTGTATTTGGTCTATGTTTGCCAGATAGGTGTCCTTTTATGCGGACACAGAGGGGTCTACCCGTTTCGCCAATGTATTCGTCACCACACGTCTTACAGGAGATCAGAGAAACTATACCCGAGCTCATGCAATCACCGTCTCTACCACTGGGGCAGATTATGCAATTTTGAGTTGCACATAGACGGTAATATAGGCGGTTACGAACTAGTTGGCGCTTAAGATTACTCGGTGGTATTTCAACTACGCTTACCGAATTCTCTAAGCCCGCCCTTCTCAAGCAGCGTTTTATAGCTGTGCTTATATCATTTGAGATAAAAGGTAGGATAAACGGGACCCTTCTATCGCTAGAGTTGTCGTTTGGAGGCCTACGATTTCCTCTACACCTATCCTGAGCTACAGTTTCGTAGCCATTAGAAATGGCTATTTGCCGTGCCAAGTTCCGGGACTCCTCTCTCTGCTCTCTTCCCGTGCACCCGTTGGTTGCTGTTCGAAACATGTTTCTTATAAGCGCCCTTTTCGTGTGGGAGGGGTGAGAGGAGAGGTAATGAACCAAGATATTTTTACTACTTGGCTTTCGGTACCACTTTGTAATGTGGCCATTTTCTGATAGGTGAATTTGTACGTTCAAAAATGAAAGCCATTTTTCTTTCGGCTTTTCTCGGGTGAACTTGATATACTCTGACTGTGCGTTTAACAATTCGAAGCATTTGTCCATTTCCTCTTGTGTTGAGCAAAGGACAAAGCAGTCGTCTACGTACCTACAGCAGAGTAGCGGCCCGAGATCAGTCACCGGTGCTTCCACCTTAGACATAAATGCAATGGCAAGGCTTGGAGCCAGTCGTTGTCCCATTGCCAACCCTCTTATTTGAGCGTAGTACTTTCCAGACCATCTGAAGATTGAGCAGCTCAAGCATTCTTTTAAGAGTGCCATCAGGTGCTCTATNACTTATATCATTTGAGATGAAGGGTAGGATAAACGGGACCCTTCTATCGCTAGAGTTGTCGTTTAGAGGCCTACGATTTCCTCTACACCTATCCTGAGCTACAGTTTCGTAGCCATTAGAAATGGCTATTTGCCGTGCCAAGTTCCGGGACTCCTCTCTCTGCTCTCTTCCCGTGCACACGTTGGTTGCTGTTCGAAACATGTTTCTTATAAGCGCCCTTTTCGTGTGAGAGGGGTGAGAGGAGAGGTAATGAACCAAGATATTTTTACTACTTGGCTTTCGGTACCACTTTGTAATGTGGCCATTTTCTGATAGGTGAATTTGTACGTTCAAAAATGAAAGCCATTTTTCTTTCGGCTTTTCTCGGGTGAACTTGATATACTCTGACTGTGCGTTTAACAATTCGAAGCATTTGTCCATTTCCTCTTGTGTTGAGCAAAGGACAAAGCAGTCGTCTACGTACCTACAGCAGAGTAGCGGCCCGAGATCAGTCACCGGTGCTTCCACCTTAGACATAAATGCAATGGCAAGGCTTGGAGCCAGTCGTTGTCCCATTGCCAACCCTCTTATTTGAGCGTAGTACTTTCCAGACCATCTGAAGATTGAGCAGCTCAAGCATTCTTTTAAGAGTGCCATCAGGTGCTCTATTCTGAAGCCATACATGTTTATTTCACCTTCGTGTTGTGTAAGGAGTTCGAATATGGCTTCTATTGTGGAGTCATTCGACACGTTTGTATAAAGGGCGGTAACGTCGAAGGACTCCATCACGCACGCGCTGTTGGGCTCCGCAGTACGTAGACGATCCAGAAACATCTGAGTATTCGTAAGATGGGTTGCAATGTGTTTCAACAGCTGGTTAAATATCAGGGTTAAAAACCATGTTATCCTGTCCGTTGGCCCGTCTACACAGCTACTGATAGGTCTAAACTTAAATAGTGATGGATCGGTAGACGCAAGATCATCGCTGGTTACTAACTTATAAGTTTTTATAAGTAAGTACAAGACGGGGCATGTTGGTAAGTCAACTTTAAGTTGAGAGATAACTGATGGTTTCAAACCAGCAGCCCTTGTCATTTTGGCCCATTCGTGGTTTAGTTTTCGGTATTTACTTTTGAATTCCTCCCCAGATGATGGGCGATGAAGCGAAGCATATTCAAGATGCTTTTTCGTTATCTCCACATCTAACTGATGAGAAATTACGACAAGCTCTCCACCCTTATCACTAACGGATTGTCTTATGGTTTTCAACTTTATCAGCTCTCGTACCTCTCGCATACCACGTTTTTGCACTGGAGTGAGGTTTGAGCTGTATCTTTTCGCACGATAGTGATTAAGGACTTTGAGAGCTTCATTCGCAAACATCCGAAAATTAACATTAACTTCATTATTTGGCTCTTCTTGTCTAAAAAACGTCGAGGGAAATGGTGCTATTGGTAGGGTCCCCACTTGATGTTGTTCGCACCTATTTAGCGCTTCATCTCTTGCTTTTTTGCGGAGTCTATCCTGAAGTTCATGTAAACCACATGCGACCCTACGCAAGGTTATCTTAGAAATGGGTTCAGATGGTGAGAAACTCGGCCCTAATTCTAATAACGAGCGCGCACCGTCAGGGAGAGTTATGCCTCCTAACACGGTTAGCCTTGAATTTTCTTGCACATTACCTATCCTAATGTGATCTGTTTGATGTTCTTTAGCGATATTTTTGTGCGCTATTGAAGCTGTGTTATGCGATTTACTCAAAAGGTCTTCGAATTTCTTCCGCAAAGTTACTTTAGCATTAGACCTAATAGAGTTGCAAATCAACATTGACCTGCCCACTATTCTCCTCCAGAGGCGGTCCTCCAAATATTGAGCGCAAAACTTTTCCTTCGTCTCGCACTTCTTCCACTTGGCGAACATCTGATTTTGTCGGCTTCGTAGACAGGTGCGTAGTATTCGCAAGTCGACGTCCAATATTCGGTGACTGTCCTCTGGTAGACCGCATACTTCGTGTAGTCGTCTTCGTTTGTTGAAGTTCGGAAAGACTCGATGTTTTAGACAGCGGCGGAGAATGTGTATTGACTGTCGAGCTAAGACGATCTTTTGTCTCAGTGACAGCGCTTCTTTTACAAGTCGGAAGTATCTTGCTGGTACATCTTGCAGTAACTCCCACGACCGACTTTCTATTAACCTCGGCATTGATCGAATAATTCGTCGTACATTTGTTGAGCAAACGCGAGGTGTTATTATTCCTTATTCACGAATAAGCTGACGTTTCGGCCGATTTCGCCTTCTTCAGAACCTGGAAAGGTCAAGTTGATAGCAATCCACTCCGCCAGACGCCTCCATAACCAAACAAAGAAACTCCAAACCAAGATTTCAATCACTTTGAACACAGCTTTGCACACTCACCGCTTTCTATGAGGTTTCCACTAAGTATGTTACGTAGAGACCAACCGCACAAAAAGCACATGGAAGTATAATGTGCCCCTCCTATCAGAATAGCAGTCTTATATACTGCCCTATAAAGCTTAATGAAGTCGAATGCATGGCCCATTCCTCAGGGATTGATCAAAGCCAGAAGTTTTATATTTTTAACCATATTAAGCAATTTAAAATTTTATATGCTGCTCTTCATTTACCAACTAACGCTTTTGTAGATAGCTCCACCTGAAGCTACACTAGATGACGCTGGTGAACAAAAAGAATTTGAGCTGCAAGCTCCACCTGAAGGCAAACGTCCACGCACTCCAAACGAGCTTGATATTCTCGCTAATGAAGAACCAATAGATTCAGAACCATTCAAAGAAGAGCATCCTATTCCTATTGACGTTCCGATAGAAGAGAATGAGGAAGCTGCTGTAGAAAGGAAGCCGAGTCAAGATGCAGCTCCCGTCTCAGGTTAGCTAGAGTTGGAAAAATAATGAGGAATGTGTTGGAGTTGGTTGAATCTTGACCACACCCTGTCGTTACTTTATTCATGTGAAAGACCTTCGCTATAATTTATGAGGCCTTTAAAATAGGCCCATTTTAACAAAAAGTTTGACAAATCAGTAGAATAAGCTCTAAGTAGACTTTTTAAGAAAACCTGAACTCTGTTCCACAAACTCCAAAGTTGGCAGTAGGATCCGTTCCTCAAACACCAAAGTCGGCCAAAACCGAGGTACAAACCTTATTTCACTCAACTATAACTTCAACAGACTTGTTATGGAAGGTTGATGTTTGCAGATAGCTACTACGCCGACAAAATCTGTACCTACAACTCCGAAAGCAGATGAGGTTTGTTCGCGGATAGAAAGGATTCATCAAAAGCAGCATTTAACCCCTGAGAAACGTTTATCGTTCCTTAAATACGTATATTTACAGACAACTGGTGTATCAATGGCATCTGTACCAACAACTCCGAAACCCGATGAGGTTTCTTTGCTAATTTTAAACACTAGCAAAAATAGGGTTTGTCTCATGAATGACTGTACTTTCAGACAGCTAGCACACCATTGGAATCTGTACCTCAAACACCGAAAACCGAAGAGGTTTGTGCTCTAACACGGCAGAGCATCAGCGGTAGCATTCCTCTGTAAATGATGGCCTATAATGCCTAACCATTCATCTAAACTTCATAAACACACCTACCGTTCATCACTAACACTGTGGTTTCACATAAGAGTGACATTCTTTCTACAACTGTTGTAAAACCATAGTAGGTGAAACGTTTTAAGGCATTCGGGACCCCAACTGGTTCTGTACCACCCACACCAAAGTTGGCAGTCGAAGAGGTCTGTTTAAAGCGTGCATGGAATTTTCTTAATTTCCTTTCTTTTCAAAATTTATATTAGTTTTATGGCGTTGAATGTTATTTCATTAAGGGTTTCCGTACACCTGTAGGATCCGTACCACCTACACCACGCTCAGTAGAAGAAGTTTGTTTGTAGTCGTTATGAATAATTTGAGAAGGTGTTATAAACAAATAACAGATTGATCTTAGGTAAATTTCTTTAGGCACCTGGTACTCTTGCTGCCGGATCTGTGCCACCAACTCCGAAGGAGGTACAAAAAGAGGTTTGTACGCATTTTTAATCAGTTATTATCATCTTCGATTTTCTACAATCAAGAACCACTCTAGCTTAATTTTAAAGGCACGACGTGGATCAACAATTTCAACTCCAAGGTCAAGTATTGGTTCAATTCCCGTAACACCGAAGCCGACCGGAGAAGTCACGCGCAAAACAAGCATTCCTGGTACTCCATCAACTAAATCCGAGACGTAAGACTGCAGACGCCATTAATGACCACTAAAAAAGAGAAAAAAAGCTAAAGAATGGATTAAATAACACAAAAAAATTCTAAAATCGATGCTAAAGTTGATGCTTAACCAAACCGAGTTTTAGAAAATAGAAAAAAATCTATTGACGAAATCCTTTGAATCAGAATTCTGCACAGGCTTACCAAGGACACTTAGTTTTTGAGTTAATTACAAAATTCTCACATTCTTTAATTTTTTTCCAAAAACTCTCTCCGTCCACCAACAATTTTAAGACATGGTTTTAACGAACTCTGAAGACTTAAATCTTGCCGTGCATTTTCCCACCTTGATTTGTTATCAGTATTCCAAATGAGGACGAACTGAGTCTTATATATTACCAACAATTAAACTGTTCAAGTATCGACTAACAGAAGTGATCTTAAATGAAACTGATTTGTGGAACGGGTCATAGATGATAACACCATCAGTAGCTTATATAACATATATCTATTGTATGATTAACGACTTTGAACAACGCAAATCAGAAGACAAAAAGTAATAGTTTTCAAAAAACTGTAAAAGAAGCTTGTTACCTTCAGATAGAACTGTTACCAATTCCTATATCTGTTGCAGACCTAAAATTTCCACACCGTCTCTCGCAACACCAAAAACGGCAGGAACACCGAAATCGAATGCTGCGTTCAGTTTCGATGAAGCTCCGCCGACACTGAAAGATACAGAAGCACCTTTAACGCCTGCTAAAAAGACACCTAGAACCCCACGTACTCCAAAGACACCACGAACTCCGAAGGCTAAAATTTCCACGTTCGTTTTTAATCCTATTTCTAATTTATTTAAAACCATTCACTGCCAGTCCTCACTACAACAAACTTACAAATTTTAGCATTTTCTATGGAACTTTTTTGCACAAAAAAAGATTTATCACCCTAGCGTTTATCCAATTGCAAAACGTTGTTTATACTTATTTCTTACGGTGGCTGACAGAAATGCAAAGCAAAGACTTCGCTTGATGGCATGCATAGCACGTGAGCCCCTCGGTAATCGCGGGCATGTAGTCCACTTGAAGTTACGAATTTTGCTCACAACTCATCAACCTTGTGCTTTATTTCACACCATGCTCTCTTATAAAAAAAAGAATAAGCAGTAAGTAACTGTTGAGAGTAATTCAACTGCTCGTCTTTCATAAATAGACTTTGTTTGAAATTAATCGTTATAGTGTCGAAGAGCCAGTGCCGATTATTGAAGAAACTCCGGAACCTCCAGCTCATGAGGAGATTCAAGCAGTAGTTAATGAAGAGCCTTCTCCTAAACTTGTGGAAAATGAATCAGTACAGGAAGCCGACGAAGAGGAGCCGAAAACCACTGAAGGAGAGCCTGTAGCTTTTGAAGAGAGGTCCGAAGCCGTTGAAGATCAGAATAAAGCAGCCGAAGAGGAGCCTAAAGCTGAAGAAGAGCCACCAGCTGAAGAGAATGGAACAGAGCCAGCACAAGCCGACGAACCTCCTAAAGAGCTCGATGAAGAGGTATAGTGAATGGTCGTATTGTGTAACATTGGAGCTTACGAGGACTGTGCAGAAATGACAAGCATTCGACGGAAACGCACTATTTAGGAAAAGGTTAGTGAAGTTACTGGTGAATCTCCAGAAGTAAATAGAATTGAGCGCCGTACTTCCGCTCGTCCACGTGCTGCATCTCCGTCTCCACCACGTCGTACAAGACAACTATCACCGTCTCCTGAACGACGACCTTTACGTGACTATAAAAGTTACGATCAGGTATTTTTGATTAGCAGATTAATAATTAAAGCAGCTTGTTACGAGTTAGTTAAGAATTATCCAAGTGTAAAAATTGAGGATTCACACCGTCATATTCCACCACCACGAATCCCCACCATGACTTCATTCTCTTCGTGGAGCCCACTAGATAGAAGCACTTATACGCCAGTCAGGTGAACATTATACGAGAGCAACTTATTTTTGTTTTACTAAGTTATTAGCGTTTTTTCTGTTGCTTAGAATGTCTTGGAAGTAATCACATATTCTTTTAGTCCCTTCGTAGTAAATCCCTACAAGTATCGCAATGAATATACTGCTAATTGTGATTACCGCCCTAGTAACAACTATTTAAGCCAATTTGATGACATCGTTAATACAGGTAAAGCCATTCATCTTCCTAGGCTAAGCGGATAATTTCACAGCAAAAACACTACAGGAGCGTTTTCATCAGCACTATATTCAACTACTAGATTGATCGAACGATCACGTAGTCGCACGCGTGAACGTCGCCAAGCAATGCGATCACAGAGATCAGCTTCGAACTACTACAGGTGGTATTCCTATTCAAACGCATTGTCAAAAAAATATACGTTAGGGTGAGGGTAAAATGATTATATGTAAAAGAGGTAATGCAAACCGTGATCTGGTCACCTGTATTACCTGTCTTCTCGCTTCTGTTGACTTGAGGCTGCTCCAACAGTCTCCATCTGCCACTGTCACCTGCAAGTTTGTTAAGTGTTTCCACTCGCCTGAAAAAATTTGAGAATATCATATTTTGTCGAGTGCCGAAATTCAGGTTGGTGAGCTCGATCTGATACGTTTGTGAGACCCATTTACAAACGGCCATTGTGCTATTGTTGTCGCCATGACGCATCACTTCTGCGGTTTCTCTCTGACAATTAATGCTTGACTTAAATCGGGCTATTAGATTTTCTTATTCACTTGCGCGTTATGAAATAGCCTTAAGCCTGAAGCCTGAAATAGCCTTCAAAACCATGTTTACTCCTTCCTTCAATTAATTGATTTTTCACTCTACTTGCATAGCATTCAACATTCCATTGGAGCATTAGAAGATATTCGTCATGTGTAACGCGAATGGGCATAAAAACGAATTCGTGCATAGTGAAAATCATTTTTGAGATTTTTCAAGCAGTGAGTTTTCGCAATTGTTGTCGATATCAACCAATACTCGTTATGTTTGGCTAATGATTGATGTTGTATGAACGATTTCATCAGCACAGTTGTGATGGTGCTGCTACCGCTCATCAACATTCATCCCATTGATATTCCATTCTAGTTGTCTCATGACATTTTGAAAGTGACAGTAAACAGTTTTGAAGAAAATGATGCTGCTTTGTCGAGACCTTCTCTTTAGCTAAATGACAATACCGTTGTTTAATGGTGAAATTCTGTTATTGAATTTGTTGTGTAGCACACGAAGAATGTTTTTCTGCTGAACAGACGTGCCTCGTTCGTCCAGAGCTTCTTGACCGCTTTTAGCTCAACTGAGTCAACTGCCGCTTTATGTTAATACGAGTAAGGTAGAGCGGTCTTTTGTATTCTTCCAGTACTCCACCATTCTCACTATCGCATGTGACCTCACATGTTGGATCTTTTTTAAAAATAGAAAATTCACATTCTTTCCTGTTGGACACTTCCAAATTTAGAGACATGTGGGCGACAGATGAAATTATAAATCGGCGATATTTGCCTACGTGCTATGAGCCCCCTCCACTTCCAGACAAATAGCTTGTGAAAATATAAGCAGAGTTGTTGATGATAACTGGCAGTGTCTTCGTTAGAAGTTAAAGTCTAATTCTATTGAAACCAAGTTGCACAGTTATTCATATGCAAGACTTCACTTAGAAATTCGAACTGGAGAACCTTTGGAACGTCATATTCACCCAGGTGGATATGCTTGTGGACTAGATCAGTGAAAAAGTCACGTATGATGATCAAGCGTCGTAGAGCGATCACCACAATCAAGAAATTTGAAAAGTTCGATGCAGCGTTCCCAGGTTTTTCTTCATGCCAATGTTGATGAATATACTTAACCTATTAAGACAGTTTCTAAGAAAATTTCAGTGTTAAAAGAATGAAGTCCTTCGCTTCAAGTGTTTTGTCAGAATTTCTCTATTTGTAGCATGCAGAGCACAGGCGTATAGGCTGCTTGTACTTATATATTTATAAAGATCCCATGGCAAGTAAAAAATTGCTTCTGATCCACGCCTATCCCATACCCTCTACGTAACTACGCACCTCCTAGGGTTGCGACTAATCTGCAATGGTTCATTAGTAGAATAATGCGGAGGAATGGTTTAATAGTTGAAAAAGAAGGAAATTTTAGGAGAGCATTCGTCAGATATCAAAATGAGTAGTACTTGAAGCTATACAGTGGATAAAGTTGAAAATAGAAAGCACTATGCATTTATCACCACAAGAAGTTTTCAAACTTATGGCCGTATTTCATCAAACAATTTTATTCACTATCCTCCTTTTTTATTCCAGATGCCTTCTCAACTCGTAAGCGTTTCCTAAAAACGATTTGCTTTGTTGTGCTATTAGAGATACTGTGTGCCTGTTTTATTCCTTTATTGCAATGGTGTGTTTTAGCTTAGCATAGGTCTTGCATACCAGCTTATTAATCATTTGAGTCGTTGCGAACGATTTCAAGTATTTGCTCTGCCGTTTATTGGGTGGTAAATAATTCATCATTGTCACTTTGAAAGTATACTCTTTTTTGTGCTGCACTACCGTTAATGGTCTGAGAGCTCTTTGACATCTAACTGGAGGTTTTGGAAACGCAGCTGATTGTTCACCACTCTAATTGATTGTCAATGCTATAACATTAGTTCAAGTAGGATGGCTTCACTAATTGTACTGAGCTGAGTACTTGAGTTTTTAGGTTAACTTCTCAGTATCCAGCCCCACAACGTGCTCGTGAGTACTCGACGCCACCATCACGCGAGTACAGCAGGCCACCATCACGATCTGGTTCATTCATCTCGTTTATGGAGTATTCTGGATCGAAGAATGGCGAATTGTCACGTAACGCATCGCGCTCGTCCATTAATGACTCAGCACTAGCTCTTTCACGCAGCAGGTATACCCGTACAAGGTATTCTGTAATGAGAAAATTATATTGCTGAGCTCTTAAGGTCCTCAGATTGCTCAACCTCTTAAAGGATTACTTTTCTAAGTTATTCAGTCAGACTCTAAAAAAATAATAGCGAAATGCATCAGAAGTAGGAAAAAATCAGCTTTGAATTGATGAATATAAGATTGAATAGTGGTGTACATCTTAATGATTTGCACAGATAAATATGAAATAACCGTACCACTAATACTACAAATCTTAAAGCAGTGCAGAGTAGTGGAAAGAATAGAGCTCACGGACTGTCTAAATTACGGCATGCATTACTTGTTCGCGAAAGTGATAGATATGAGTTTCGCTTTTCATTAGTTCGCGTGATATCTTCTACGGTGGTGGTCGCCTATCTCGAGTTGACAGCTACGTACGTGATCTTCACACACCATATGAATACGAGGTAATTTACCAACAACAGCAGTAGAATCACTTGCAAATTAGCAAAGGAAATCGATTCATCTTAGATGCCGTCAAACTATGATCGCTATAGATCATCATCACGATCCGGTGGATACTCAACTACTAGCGGTTACACGGTATGTTGCCGTTTCTTTTTAATTCACTATAAAAAAATCGGAAACTTTATTAGATGACGGAACTGACAAAATCTTACGGTGTTTATAAAAATAAAGTGCAGTGCGAAGATCAAAGATGCCCCGCAATGCAGACACGGTCCTTGGTTCCTTCCGACCCCCTAAGTTAACCTAGCGTTTTGCCTGTTCATGGTCTGCAATTGGTATTAGACTTGTTGAAAAGATAGTAACACTGTTTGATTGATCTTTGGTAAGTAGACATCGGTATGCCACCGCAAGTAATCAAAATATGCATTCGAGCTCTAAGCTCTGCGATACTGCGATTGTAGTCAAGCTCTTGATGTATCCTTCAGGGACTGACCAATGCTAAATGCTTTGTTCCTTTACCTTCTTATTTATATACAGCTTTGTATAAATACCTTCCAAGATTTTTATACAACAATTAAGAGCTATAACTCTTCATCGTATATCGACACCGATACCACTCGTCGTTTCAAACGATATCAGTACGACGCAACACCAATGGTCATGAGCATGTATGAGGTTTGTAAAATCTTCTCCACCTTATGGTGTCATAGTTATCACTTTATATGGATGGTTTCGTCGTTATTTTTGTCGTCCTGTCTTGTTATGTGTCGTCGGAATGTTTGTTTTTTTTCAACTGTAACCTCAGTCATAAACGTATTAGTTGGATACGCCGTCTTTCCTGAAAGTTCATCAATCTCAGTTCAGTACACCGTAAAACGCTCGCTTGCCAGTTAACGGAGTACCTTTGCGGAAAGAACGGAAAAAAAATACTAGTCTGAATCTATGTTGCTTCTACAACTAGGATATGTTATGCTCATTTTTCTTTCACAACCAAACGACTAAAGTGTCACTGCATCACGTGCAGACTTCACGACCTCACAGTGTCTTCCATTTGTGTTAAATATTAGATTGATATGAAGAGTTCGCTGAATTCCACTTATATCTCCGGGCACATCAACATTTTTCAGGGCCGCATTGGTCATCTGGAGAGGTCACTCTCACGTGAATTACTAACAAAGGACAGGGTGAGCAAATAGCTCATAGTACTAGCTTCATCCATTATTATTGCTCCATTCGGCAACAGCACTCCTTGTATGAGTAATCAGCATTGTGTCTCTGATGGTCTCATTCAAAGACAATAGCCGTGCTGAATTCAAAGTTTTTTAACAATGAAATCAAATGATCGTAAACTGAAAGAAAAAAGATAAAGCATGCGGTGTTGATTGTACGCCGAACGCTTTACCTTTTTTACCACCTCATGGAAACTTAATGCTTTCGGCTTTCTTTAACGCAATTATAAGTGATTAAATGCATAATTGGCTCAGACGACTTTTGATGGCTTACGTATTCATCAAGACAGTGTTCTTTTTTCATATCCAACCAGAAATGGCTAGTACCAATTTGCGGGGCTTGGCTAGTCTAAGGCGCGAGGTCCAACTAATGACCTCGTAGGGAGGGAAGCTCTAAGGATTGGAGTACATGTGCTCTTCCGTGGCCGTACAAATGCGCCGTATTAATCAATGCTTATAGGCATTCACTACCAGAAATTATCTTCATGCAGAGAATCAAATGAATGAAAATGCATCATTCAAATTTTCCTCACTAAATAACCGATCCTTTGCAAAGTAGTGTAGCACTTAGAATTGTTTACAATGGCGCGTATTTTTTATGTTTCGTGTTTAGCTGCGTTACGAGTACAATCATCTATCGAACAAACTGAATCAAGCGATGCGACAAATGGATTTACTGCGTGCCAATTCGTACTCGAACATACGTTCCTCATCACAACCACGTACCAGTGTCTACACTCATTTCTATCCTTACTTCTAGTCTTTTCCTGTCTACATAGATAGATAGGCTTCATCTATACATTTTTTTCTCTTTTACTCTTCTTCACGCTCTTCAAATCCTCATCACTAACGACTCATATTCAACTGACATTAGTTCGCATTTATGGTATTTCTTTGCCAATTCGATTCCGTTTTAAGTAAAGGCGTTCTCAATAGAGAACATTACCAGCGTGATTTTTTACCTTTCCAACAGAAATTTTTTCCTGTAAATAAACTAGAAAGTAAAAGATACCACATTCTTTCACAGATATCATAGTTACAAATCTATTCGGTCATTGTCACAAATATGCTTAGGAATACCATAAGGCGAATTTCGAACCTTTCGTTCGAAATTATTACTGTCATATGTCGTTACTAATATCGTAGCAGCTTTACACTACGAGAATAGAATATGTGTAGATCCCAACTTTGCTGGACCGGCTTTCATCAGACTTTATCTGCTTCAGTGCTGCTTTTCTTGTCATAACGCTTTTCTGTGTGCTTGCGCAAATTTTTTGTTCTATTCTACGTTACATTCATACCATAACGTCTTTTTGGCAGCCATTAATTGAAGTGCTAAATGTTTTCCTAAAAATCCGATTTCAAGCGAAATCATCGAAAAATTCACGACTATGCTTCTAAGTCAGAATAGTGCCTAGTATTGAGTTGTATGTAGCACATCGCACTTACTAACTTGTATTGTGCTATGTAAACAGCATCGTCAGAAATGTAATTAGAAATGATAAAGTGTTCGTATTCAGCGCAACATGTTCACATATTCAGTGGGTAGTCGTTGGAAAATTTAAATAGCTTCGAACTAGTGCTCATGCTCACTGGATAGTAATTCGGAAATAGAAATCGGCTTTATCGTTCAAACTGAAATGCTATGACGCCTTGAACAATTAGAAGTGAAGAATATCAGAAAAATCTCTTACATCTTTTAGACATCGTATGCACCACAGTACTTAGGAGGCAAGTACAGCAATCATTCAGAACTAAATCGCTTAGCCGCGCATCCGTGGATGAGATACTATTGAAAGGTTCGTTTCAAAGATAATCAACCGGGTTTATTCGAACGCTTTGCATCTGTACAGTAGAGAATTTCAAAAAATCTTGGAGATGGCTGGCTGTCATTTTCAATTACACCAATATGGAATGAAGCTAAAAGATCTTCAAAGCATTCCTATCTTCTCAGTCATGTCATACAAGCGGTCGTAATAAAAATTGCAAAGTAGCGCTGTTGGGAGTATTCAGTTATTTCAGCTTACTAGTTGGCGTAAATATGTAGGTATTCATCATTGGAACGTTGCCAACAAAAAGCGGTAAAGTGCACCTCTATTGTACTACACATGCTTATGTCAAGCAAAACAAATAACCTGAGTGAATAAAAAAAATAAAAAAATTATAGAAGTAGCTAGTTTAGATCACTGCGTTTGTTTTTTTTAGGTCATAACCTTTAAAGTCGTGTCTTTTAGGGTGCTCGAGGAACTCACCAATCACAAAGACTTACGACGGTATTACTAACTAGCTGCTTCAAAACTTTCGTATCTTAAGCTCATCAATAAATGTAGAGCATTGCTGCTTCTTTGTTTTTCGCACCAATAGTTTGAAAAAGAAACTTTTTCAGTTGTAATTGATTTCGATGCTTTCTTGCATATATTTGGATTCTACATTTCGTGTGTACCTCTTAAAAATATTTCCTAGCGTATTAAGTGTATTTGTATGGTTATTGCTGTACTGGAGAGAAGAAGTATTTTAGCGCTGTATTCATTGACAAGTACTTAATCTCACCCAAAGGGGAAGCGGATCAAGATGACTATGCTATGAAGACATAACACGAAGTATACTTCGAGAAAAAAAAAGTGTTCAGTCTCTACAGGAATAATGATTTAAACTACGGGTACCATTTAAGAGGTCGATATTCCATTGCCATTCGATTCCTGAAGAAAGGTTTTTCTAGAGCTCCGCCATTCATAGATAGAAATTTAACAAAGCAGCAAACCGTTTACGTTTTTCTCGGATTTCATTGTTCTCGTTCAACAACCGGTTTTTCCGTTGCAGACAGTGCAGCGTCTTCGTCGCTCATAGTGGCAGAAAGAGGTACTTGAAGATAGTGAAGCGCATAGTATCGTTTATGTCGAGTAATTTCCAACATCACCTGGTTTTCCCTATAAAGACCTCGAAAGGTAATGGCACTAAGAATTATATAAAGTATCTGTTTTTTTTGACATTTGTAAATGATCATCCACACCGTGGGTAACTCACCTCACCACGGAAAGTAGCAGTGCATTCCTGATTTGTACTACGCTTATGACGCCGCTTTTATATATCATAATTCCTTCCAAAATCTTTTTCTTAGTAGGACTATACGAGCTATGCCCAATGAAAAAAATAAGGATGCAGAAAAAACGTATTAATAGTTAAGGCCAGGGTTAATATTCCGACAATCACAAAGAATACTTACAAGAGTAAACCTCGAGATGCTGAAAGAAAAAATGTCTTGAGGGAATTCGTTAATGGGACAGCGATTTTCCGCAGTGAAAAAACCCACCAGCACAAATTCTATGTAGGTTAGAAATTTTTTTGATTACTGTTTTACTGTGTACCTCATCTTCCTCCGAGAACGCATGCGTGCTGACACTGCGATCACTACATGGGAACAAAGGTTCCCTACACCACTGAAGTGACACGGCATGTATATGTGTATGCATACACTAATTCGTCCCTTTTTTGGCACAAAATTACTTTAGTGGCTAGTCTACGATTTTACTTTGTAATGAATAGAACATGTTCTCAAAGAGATTCTTCACACCTTTTTTAGCTCTCAGATTTCCTTCTCTGCTGATACAACTAAAAATATTGCGGCATTCTTGATGAAATTGTTAACAATGGGCATATTTCGCTCTGATATAATCTCAAAAAGCGCAGGAAAACATTAGCATGTACAAAAACTTTAATACAAATACGGTATTAAATGCATCCTCATAGCCGTTAGCATACCTAAACCGACTGACAACCTTTGATACGCGTCAGAGGCGAAGTGGAAGACAGTGCTATCAGCCGACCGAATCTCATGACTCTCGCCGGAGGGGCAGATGATGAAGAATTTCTAATTATTCGGTTATTCTTTCTACTTCTGCTCAACAAACACGAGGTGCTATTTTATTTCTTTATTTACGCACAAGCTGACGTTTCTGCGGATTTCGCTCTCCTCAGTCTGGAAGGATCAAGTTGACAGCAAACTATTCGGCCAAACACCTCCATAACCAAACAGAGAAAACGCTAAACCAAGATTTCAATCACATTTAGTATAGCTCTGCACACTCACCGCTTTCTATGAGTCTTCCACTGAGTATTTCGCGTGAAGACCGACCGCACAGAATTCACATGGAAGCGTAATGTGCCCCTCCCATCAGAATCAGAAGAAACAGGTTTATATACTGACCAATATCACGCGTGATAACGAGGCACTCCTCCCTGCGGTTCATTTTCGGATTCTTGGAATTAATCCAGAATGTCTCGAGAGTTTTGCGCGCTTGTGTTCTCGATTCTTGAGCGAGGATCGTAATCCTTACTTCAAAATCTTCTCCGTTATGTTTCTGCATGCTATGCGTAGCTAGTGGAGTACTTAGCTTACGTTTGCCGACTTTATACTCTTATACGGTGTTCTTTTATACGTACGCTGAGTGGTCTACCCGTTTCGCCAACGTATTCGTCCCCGCACACTTTACAAGAGATCAGATAGACTGTACCCGAACTCATGCAGTCACCGTCTCTACCATTGGGGCAAATTATGCAATTTTGCGTTGCACAAAGACGGTCGTATAGGTGGTTACGAACTAGCTGGCGCCTTAAATTATTCGGTGGTATTTCGATTATCGTTACCGAATTTTCTAGACTGGCCCTTCTTAAACAGCGTTTTATGGCTGCACTTACTTCATTTGAAATAAAGGGCAGTATAAACGGGACCTTGTTGTCGCTAGAGTTAACGTTGGGGTACCTGTGGTTTTCTCTACACCTATCTTGAGCTACGGTTTCGTAGCCATTAAAAATGGCTATTTGCCGCGCCAAGTTCCAGGTCTCCTCCCTCAGTTGTCTTCCTGTGCACACGCTGGTAGCTGTTCGATACATGTTTCTCACAAGCGCCCTTTTCGTGTGAGAGGGATGAGAGGAGAGGTAATGAACTAGGATTTTTTTACTACTTGGCTTTCGATGCCACTTCGTAATGTAGCCGTTTTCTGATAGGCTAATTTGCACGCTCAGAAATAGTAGCCAGCTTTTTTTTTATTTCTCTTGGGTAAATTTAATATACTCTGACTGTCTGTTCAACAACTCGAAACATCTGTCGATTTCTTCTTGCGTTGAACAAATGGCCAAGCAGTCATCTATATATCTACAGTAGAGTAACGGACCGATGTCGATTACTGGCGCTTCCACCTTAGGCATGAATGCAGTGGTAAGGCTTGGTGCCAGTCGTTGCTAGAAACTTTTGTTCCAAGAATGTTTTTTTTTGTACGAAATTACAAGCGCCATCCAAAAGAAGACTACATCATAGTAGATGAACACATTTTGATACTTGATACTTAATACTTGAATGACCCGTCCTCACTGGGCTCCAGCATAATCTCCATTTCTCGGAGATTTGCTAGCTAAGCCATTATGGTTTCCTGGGGTCTCGAGGTCAGCCTGCCCAAAGTCTGCCTCAGGTCTTCACCACCACGGGAAGTCACAGCAGTAGTGGTTCAGAGGGAGATTCACCAACATACCATGTCACTTTGATGCCATGACGGTGGCGGATCCTCGTATTGGTTTACTCTTAGCTAGGCTTCCTTATGGAAACGCCGGAGTCCCTCTCAACTTGCGAGACCCTGCCAGGCGATGAATCCTCCGCTGTTGATCGAAATCGGACACCCAGGAACACCTCCCAGCGACGATGAGGTGGCAAACCGCTGGAATGAACACATTTAATTTCTTTACGATTAAGAACGTAGAATTGTAGAG